GTTATAAGTGATCTTCAAAAATGTCCGCGAAGGGGAAATGGTGGCTGACAAAGCCTGTGAATACATGGAGGTGAGTGGCATCAACTACCAGGAAAGGGCTCCATTTTCCCATTGAAAGTTTCAGAAAATTGCTTAGAACTTTAGAACAAGATGAGTTTGTTCTGAAACTTTGGCAGCTGGACCGGACCACTACATTTGAGTGGAGACTCAGTTTTTTCTGAAATTTCAGCAGCTGGACCGGTCTGCAACATTTGGACGGAGATTCGGTTTGTTTTGAAACTTCGGCAGCTGCACCAGACTGCAATCACTACATTTAGGCAGAGACTCGGTTTGTTCTGAAATTTAGGCAGCTGGACCGGACCAATACATTTGGGCGGAGACTGTTTGTTCCGAAATTTTGGCAGCTTGACCGGAACGCTGCATTTCGGCGGAGACACGGCTTGTTCTGAAACTTCAGCGGCTGGACTGGTCCACTACATTTGGGCAGACTCTGTTGTTCTGAAACTTCGGCGGCTGGACCAGACCGCTACATTTGGGCAGAAACTCAGTTTGTTCTGAAACTTTGGCAGCTGGACCGGACCGCTATCACTACGAGTGGGCAGACTTAGTTTGTTCTCAAAGTGGCAGCTGGACTGGACCACTACATTTAGGTGGAGAATGTTTGTTCTAAAACTTCGGCAGCTGGACCAAACCGCTACATTTGGGCAGAGACTCGGTTGTTCTAAAACTTTGGCGGCTGGACCGGACCGCTAATTTGGGCGGAGACTCAGTTTATTCTGAAAACTCAGCAGCTGGACCGGTCCGCAACATTTGAGCGGAGATTCGGTTTGTTTTGAAACCGGCAGCTGCACCAGACTGCCATCGCTACATTTAGGCGGAGACTCGGTTTGTTCTGAAACTTTGGCAGCTGGACCGGACCACTACATTTGGGCGGAGACTGTTCCGAAACTTTGGCAACTGGACTGGACTGCTACATTTCGGCGGAGACTCGGCTTGTTCTGCAACTTCAGCAGCTGGACTGGTCCGCTACATTTGGGCAGAGACTCAGTTGTTCTGAAACTTTAGTGGCTGGACCAGACCGCTACATTTGGGTGGAAACTTGGTTTGTTCTGAAACTTTGGCAGTTGGACGGGACCACTACATTTGTGTGGAGAATGTCTGTTCTGAAACTTCGGCTGCTGGACCAAACCACTACATTTGGGCAGACTCGGTTGTTCTGAAACTTTAGTGGCTGGACCGGACCGCTACATTTGGGCGGAGACTCGGTTTATTCTGAAACCTTAGCAGCTGGACCGGTCCGGAACATTTGGGCGGAGATTCAGCTTGTTTTGAAACTTCCGCAACTGCACCAGACTGCCATCGCTACATTTAGGCGGAGACTCGGTTTGTTCTGAAACATTGGCAGCTGGACCGGACCACTACATTTGGGCGGAGACTGTTTGTTTCGAAACTTTGGCAGCTGGACCGGACTGCTACATTTCGGCGAAGACTCGGCTTGTTCTGAAACATCAGCAGCTGGACCGGTCCGCAACATTTGGGCAGAGATTCGGTTTGTTTTGAAACTTCGGCAGCTGCACCAGACTGCCATCGCTATATTTAGGCAGAAACTCGGTTTGTTCTGAAACTTCAACAGCCGGACCGGACCACTATATTTGGGCAGACTTGGTTGTTCTGAAACTTAGGCAGCTGGACCAGACCACTAGATTTGGGTGGAGACTCAGTTTACTCTGAAACTTCAGATGCTGGACCGGACAGCAATCGCTATATTTGGGCAAACTAGGTTTGTTCTGAAACTTCGGCAGCTGGACCGGACCGCTACATTTGGGCGGAGACTCCGTTTATTCTGAAACTTCAGAAGCTGGACCGGACTGCAATCACTACATTTGGACAGAGACTAGGTTTGTTCTGAAACTTCAGCAGCTGGACTGGACCACAATATTTCGGCAGAAACTTGGTTTGTTTTGAAACTTCGGCACCTGCACCAGATTGCCATCGCTACATTTAGGCGGAGACTCGGTTTGTTCTGAAACTTTGGCAGCTGAACTGGACCACTACATTTGGGTGGAGAATGTTTGTTCTGAAACTTTGGAAGCTGGACCAGACCACTGCATTTGGGTGGAGAATGTTTGTTCTGAAACTTCGGCAGCTGGACCAAACTGCTACACTTGGGGAGAGACTCAGTTGTTCTGAAACTTTGGCGGCTGAACCGGACCGCTACATTTGGGCAGAGATTCAGTTTATTCTGAAACCTCAGCAGCTGGACCAGTCCGCAACATTTGGGCGGAGATTCGGTTTGTTTTGAAACTGGCAGCTGCACCAGACTGCCACTGCTACATTTAGGCGAAGACTCGATTTGTTCTGAAACTTTGGCAGCTGGACCGGACCACTACATATGGGCGGAGACTGTTTGTTTCGAAACACTTTAGCTGGACCGGACGGCTACATTTCGGCGGAGACTCGGCTTGTTCTGAAACTTCCCCAGCTGGACCAAACCACTACATTTGGGCAGAGACTCGGTTGTTCTGAAACTTTGGCGGCTGGACCGGACCGCTACATTTGGGCGGAGACTCAGTTTATTCTGAAACTTCAGCAGCTCGACCGGTCCGCAACATTTAGGCGGAGATTCGGTTTGTTTTGAAACTTTGGCACTTGCACCAGACTGCCATTGCTACATTTAGGCGGAGGCTCGGTTAAACTTTGGCAGCTGGACCGGACCACTACATTCGGGCAGAGACTGTTCCAAAAATTTGGCAGCTGGACCGGACTGCTACATTTCGGCGGAGACTCGGCTTGTTCTGAAACTTCAGCAGCTGAACTGGTCCGCTACATTTGGGCAGAGACCCGGTTGTTCTGAAACTTTGGCGGCTGGGCCGAACTGCCACATTTTGGCGGAAACTGGGTTTGTTCTGAAACTTTGGCAGTTGGACCGGACTGATATGTATGGGCGGATTTGTTTTGTTCTCAAAGTGGCAGCTGGACCGGACCACTACATTTGGGTGGAGAATGTTTGTTCTGAAACTTCAGCAGCTGGACCAAACCACTACATTTGGGCAGACCTGGTTGTTCTGAAACTTTGGCAGCTGGGCCAGACCGCTACATTTGGGTGGAGACTCGGTTTATTCTGAAACCAGAAGCTGGACCAGACAGCAATCGCTACATTTGGGCAGACTAGGTTTGTTTTGAAACTTCAGCAGCTGGATTAAACCGCTACATTTGGGCAGAAACTGTTGTTCTGAAACTTTGGCGGCTGGGCCAGACCGCTACATTTGGGCGGAGACTCGGTTTTATCTGAAACTTCAGAAGCTGGACCGGACTGCAATCGCTACATTTGGGCAGAGACTAGGTTTGTTCTGAAACTTCGGCAGCTGGACCAGACCACTACATTTGGGCAGAGACGGTTCGTTTTGAAACTTCGACACCGCACCAGATCGCCATCGCTACATTTAGGTGGAGACTCGGTTTGTTCCAAAACTTCGGCAGCTGAACCGGACTGCCACAGCTATATTTGGGCGGGGGCCGTGCATTTGGTGACATATAGTCTATTATTGCATTGAAAAAAAAAAAAAAACAAAAAAAAACCTTTTTTGGTGGTACAGCTGACTCAACAGAGGATGGTTGAGAGGTCAATATTTCATGGTATGTGACAACATTTCTGAGCTCACTTGTATTGACAACCCCGCAATCGTTCTAAGGTGAAACTCCGAGTTGCAGAACTTGGCATTAAAATATCTTTAAGGCCCTACTCCTTCACATATTGCAGTCTTCTGCCAACTGATGGCTGCTCCAAGAAAGTGTCTCTGCTGGCTACAACATTTCCATATCAGCTGAAAGATGCCAACTTCATGTGCCAGTTTAGGGGTACTAGAAATTGCTTTCTTTATTTCACTGTAGGATTTTAAAACAAACTACTGTAAAATCCCGAGAAATGCCCCACTTCAAAAGGTAACCCACCCGTTCCTGGCTTGATTTGCTATTTTCTTTTAGTCAGCTATGGCGGGATATAACGGAAAATTCCTGACTGGGAAGTACAGTCATCTTTGCTTCATTGCCCCTCACCACGACAATAAGTTTGGCAGGAACGCATAATCCAGAAATAGCATTTTACACCGAAAGTTAACCCAGTCCTTATTTTCACCAAAGTCAGGATATTACGGTAGGTATTGAATAATGAATATGGCTGCTGACTGCTTTTGAGCTGCTCAGACGGCTGTGAAATGGATGTGACATTACTGTGACATTACAAAAGATGCAAGGTAATGCACGAAATAAAAGGATACCGATGAAAAGTAGCACAATGCTTTGTTCACTCTGATAATGGCCACTAAAACTGACACACAAAAAAAAATGAAAATTTTAAATATATTTTTAGCACTTAATAATGTTACGAATGACAGACAATCAGGTGAGAGAAAACGAAATGAACTAAAGAATTAAGGGGGCCGAAGTTGTGCCAGAAACCAGAAAATGAAGAATGCACGTCGAGAAAGCACCAGCGAGCGTTGACGGTGGCAGCAGCAAGCGATGGGGCATCAGCGTAACAACTGGCCATCGCCAGAGAATCAGTAATACGGCACTCGGTTTTGTATCTACTGAGCTTGTCATCTCGCATATTCGATTTAGAATGTTTGGGAAAGAGCTAGGGGGAGACTGACTAGGCAAGGTCATTCTGGCCTTTTTATCGTTTATGCCTGCGGCAAGAGTGTATGCAAATTTTCTGGATGAACGGTGGGGCGTATCATGCCCACGGCAATATATAGACATGGCTTAGTCGCGACTCGCAGCGTTTGCGAGGCAGCTCGAATGAAACTATGTCGTTAAAACTGCCTCACAAATGCTACAAGCGATTCTGTTGCCACTTGCAGCGAAGCTTTTGTCTACCAAACATTATACTTTGTTGAATTTTCAACCGTTAGACTTACGTTTGTTAAACTTCCATACACTACGCGCTTGTCTGCCAGACTTCCGGCTTGCAGACGCAAGTGTAGCGAACGGCCTCGTACCTGAATGAGGACAGCAGAGTGAGTGAGGGCATCGTTGAGGGTGATCAGGGAGCATGATGTGGGAACAGTCCCCGGGTCGTGACCCCACGTTGTGACTAGAAGCTTGTCGTGGTCCTGAGGAAAAGAAGAAAGAAACACTAGGCGGAGTTTGACGAGAAAACCTGAACTCAAGAAAAGCTCTCCCCAGCCCAGAAACTTTCCTGGAGGCCTTGTTTACCATATCCATCACACCCAACACTATCACAACCAAAAAGAAGCCGTCCAGCCATGGATATTCTATGTATTAACGGTCGACTATGGAATGGGACTCTCCCTCGAGACTACATACATGAAATGGCATGGCTCAACTAAAGCGGTGCAGGTAAGCACGAGGGGCAACCTCATTCACCTTGTCAAGACCGGATAGCTACACCTACGGTTCGTAGACACACAAAACACTTTTGACTCTCGGCTCAGCCAAACACGAACATTACCGCAGAAACATTTTATGCAGTTTCTGGACTACACATTAGTGCAAATCCTTTTTCGCAACAGTACCAGGCACCAGTCTCCACTAAAAAGGGGCACAGAAGAACTATCAGGCACACGGTATGATTGTGCATCTCGTTTTACCTAGTTTTTTGTTGTGTTTTACTCCCCCGGTTTCGTCAACAACTGATCGGAAGAAGAAAGAAGAAGATCAGAGAGTCTTTGATTTCATAAAAACCACAACCGTGGGCTCAGATGAGACCAAGGGTCTGAAACTTAGAAGCAACTCATGTGTTTACGAGCTTCAGGACTCGGGCTAAGAAATAAAATGCTTCGAGAGCATAAAGGAAAGCATCTCGTGCCTGTAGAACGCTGGGCAGCATCCTGAGCCTGGTGCCCTTGCAGACGAGCAGCGAGGGAGGGCCACGCCCGGACACGAAGTAGATGAACAGCTTAAACCAGGATGAGTTCACCTGAACAGATGCATCACCATTTAGGGCAGTGCTTCTTGGACTCTGCTACCCTGCAACCCATTAGAACATAAAGTATCCCATGTTAAACCCCCCCCCCCCTCCCAAATATACATGACACTACAAGCTCTTTATATGACACTACAAGCTCTCCGATTTCAGTGCATGGAAAGTAGTAAACAAAAGTGATTCTGAAATTTGATTTGACAATTATGATAGTGAGAGTGAATCAGCTGGCCTAAAAACCATCACAAAAAAACAAACATAATGAATAAAGCGAGCTCACTTGTTAAAGCACAGTTTCTCAAAACACAAGTGGAGTTTGGAGAGTGCAACACTCAGTTCCAGCTCGATGTTGAGCTGTGACCTGACATTCAGCTGTGATCTGTTAAACTGTGACCCGCTTTGCAACACTTGGTGAATCTGCAACAACCCTGCTAGGGGTCATGACCCGCTGTTTGGGAAATGCTGGTTTAGGAATTCATACGTAAGAAAACAGAACAAAATAATGTCAACAATTAATGGAACTAGCAGTCACAAGCTACGCTTCGGCACAACCAATGGCAAACTGACGTCACCTCAAACGACAGGTCATAAGAGCCACTCCCACAAAGCACTCCTCTATTTCCCGCTTAAGCAGAGTGAATGCTGGAGAAGAAAAAGCCACCAATCATGGCGAGCAGAGGGCTTTATGGGAGGGATTTCTTCTTCGCCTCTTATGTTACGGAAGTCGGCAGGCAACCAAAATACCCGAACCTCTGGAATGGCGGGTCCCAGGTGCGGAGGCGTACAGCTGGTAACTGGCCTCACCTCGTTGCTGAGCGGTGCCATCGAAACCAGCAACCTAGAAGGACGGGCGAGGTTTAGAATGTTGGCAAGTACCGTACCACACTACGTATAACCTTAGGACCGACTGCAGTAAACCCCACCAGCCATCGGAGCCAATCCAAGGACGTAGGAGCGTTATGCGACCTTAGACGGGGGGGCGCAGTGACGCGCGGAAAACATATCACACGATACATTCACGGAGCCGGATTGGCTGGCATGGCTCGTAGCGTCCGCCGCAGACCGGCGTAGGGTGAAACGGAATATAGACCAGTGTTTGCTCTGTTCCACGGGTGCCGCCATGTTTGTTTATACTGACGCCATGACACAATAGCGGGACTGCGCTTTTTGCAAGACTCCATTCTCTTGAAAACCTTAACACATATCGTGGTGCAAGAACGTCAGAAATGCACAGTCACAAAGCTCCAAGAAGAAGACCGATGCCAAGAGTGTGGTAAAAGGCAAAAACCTTGTTTTATGCACAGCACTGCATTTGAGATTATTATTTCCCATTTTTATTGCTGGGGACTAGGATTTCGACCACTGGCCTATAGGCAGCAGTAATGTCTTATGCGAGAACCTAGTCTTTGTGCGGAGTCCTTGACTGTACGCAGAGTGCGCCATCGGCAACCGATTGCAGCGTGTAAAATCGGTGACTGCATGCTCTTCTTCATGGAGGATACGTCCCAGACTCTGACACTAAAATGCTAAAAGCTATGAAATATAAGTGCAGAAAAAAAAAATTTCTGCAAAAAAAGTTGATTTTGAAGAATGCCATATTTACATTAATCAACACCTAGAGAGTATTTGAAAAAAAGTTTAATTTGTTTATGCAGCATAGTTATTTTTTTATAAAAACATTTTCGGTCCATCAATGCTAAAAAACAAGAAAGAAAAGGTAGAGGTTTGAGCAATTTGAACTTGTTTTTCTCCGTTCCATGTTTTGGCATAAATTTCACTTTTGGAAAACTATTGTTTGATAACGGGACAACGGAAAAGCCCAAGTGAATACCCTTTTACAAAAGGAAAGACTCACTCGTTGTTTTTCTTCAGTGGAATTTAGTGGAGAATGCAGCTGCGGCATTGTTTTTTTTTACTTTGCGGATGTCTTTTATAAAATACGTTAAGATTTTATCAACAAGATAAAAGGCAAGAAATTTATATGATTTTTCAGCGTGATGTTAGCATGAAATAAATTACTTTTTGGGAACTTTGTTTTCACAGCTGCACTCTCCAGGCATTCTGCTGCACATCTAGTAAAGAAAAACGTTGGTTATTACATCAATTTTCTAGTGAGAGTCTTCCTAAATAACATCAGTGTGCTCCTGATAAAAAACACTACAATTTCTTAAACAATTCAGGTACACAGATGAAACTTTTCACTAAATTCTGCCTTGCAAGTGCCAGTATATATTGTCAATTTCATTCATATTGAGCCGAAAGTTCAAAAGTGGACCCTTTGGGGTAGCGTCCTCCCTTAACTGAAACTCCACTTCTCAGCTTCCAAACCTTGCTCTCTACAAAATGCAACGCGGAAGCGTCCCGACACACAAGAGTGCAACTCAAGCTCAGGGGCCAAAGTCGAGGGGCACAACTATGATGCCCGGTGCACACTCACGCGTAGTTCTTGTTGAGCAGCCGGGCGCACGTCTCCGCATCGAGGTTCTGCAGACTCTCGCAGCGCACGAGGTCGAGGCCCAGCCCTGAGGTGGGCGTTGCCGCCTCCCCCGCCGCAGGGCCCTCGGGCGAGATGGACGCATTGTTGCGCAAAAACCGCACCGTGTCCTGAAGCGTCAGCGCGTGGTCGAAGTAGCGCTGCGCCTCTCCCTCGCCCGCGTCCCCCACCTGTCGAAAAATATTTTGGGAGTTTACAAGAGCGAGAGATAAAGAGAGGAGGGATGTTGTGACAAAATGAACGGGTATCGAGAGCAGAAGAACAACCCATGTTCGAGCCCTGTGAAGGCTTGAGCTTTATGTATCCTATAAACTTCATATATAACCCTGAAGGGACCATTAAATGCTTTCTTTTTCAAGTTCTTCCTCCTTAGCTTTCCTCCTCAACTCAAAAGCGAAATGAGAAATCACGCGGTCGTGACGTAGTGCAGTGCAATCCACTTATAACGGTATCACATATAGCGATGTACCGCTTATAACAATCAGTTTTTAGAGTAGCTTCTAGGCTAGAAACGATCCGTTTCTAGGCCAGATACAACAATAATCGGTTATAATGATTTAATTTTCAAATTCTCTCGTTATCGTTATAAGTGGACTACAGTGTTTCCCCGGATGCGAGGCCACCAAGCTTCCACCGTGCTTTATAAGCACACCCTGGAACTTGCCGCTCGCAAGCAATAGTAAGTGCCGTCATGGCGCTCGTTGGTATCCAACACAAATCCAAATATTCGTCGACGTCCGGGTGACGCACTGCCTGTGTCCAATACGAGAGCTGGGTTCAACTGACGTGCTTGGGCACCGCGTATGCATTACAGTGAAAAGGCGGAGAGCTTTCGAGGGAAAGGAGGCAATACCAACTAGCCCAAACGTCGACGTTAGTCAAGAAATAGTTTGCCATGTTTTCAAATTTTCGCACCGAAGAGCAGGCTTTTGGTTTTCTACCCTCGTGTAGTACTAGTTTTCGTTTGGCCCACTGAACGATGAGAAATTAGTAAAATCCCAATCTAAAATCATTTATACCAGCTCAAAATTCATTCAACGGTCTCTTTATTGTTGTGTCGCTCCTCGACCATTCCTGACACTTGTTCCCGACGCTCGTTCCTGAGCATTTCTTTTCATAAAAAACAACCGTAATATCCCGAGTCATCGCCCATCCGCGAGCCATCGCCCAACCCATTTTTTGGGCCAATATCGATTTCCGAAAAAACACCGAGTCATCGCCCACCCCTTCAAATACCCCAGCGCGGACTCTGCGATCCGCGAACACTCATCCTACCCGAATGATGCGGCCGCGGACCTTACAGTTGGAGGACGTCCGTGACAAAGTAAAACGAAGGAGGGAAAGACACTTCTTTTTGTTAACGCATTTCCTCCGTGAGCGACCCCAAAGTGGTCGTGTATCCGTGCGAAAAGAAAACGATGGAGATAACAAAATAAGAGTTTGTTAACGTAACCGCGGTGTGTTAGGTCAAAGTCTGTCTCCGCCGAAGTAAGGTCACCGCGAACCCGCTCCTTCTTCCCGCCCATCGCGACCGCTGTTGTGCAATATTTTAGGCAAAGCCAAAGCGTAAATAAAGCTTTGCTGGAACGTCCTACACAGACGTTTGCAGAGCGTCCCAACCATGCATTGATAGCCCGCCGTGCACGGACGCACGTATGTACGCACCAAACAAGAAAGTTGCGCAAGAGCTTGCAATTGACAAGGCGCCCGACTTGGCCCGACGCCAAAGTATTTGCCAACGCGACCGCCGGCTTTCCCGCTTTCCCAGCATTGCTCTTGGTCGCTTCTTTGGTCCGCTCGCTCGCTCGCTCGCTCGTTGCGCCTGGTCGGTTTCTCTATTTTCTTGTAGACTTTTCTTCCTTCTTTTTTTTTTTTTTACTAACTAGGAGAACATAATGGTGACATTCTTTCACGGAACAAACGTTCGTGCTATATGCAGATCGGCGGTGTTTCTAGCGCGTACGGAAGCAACGGACTTCGCTATAGTAAAATATTCTTTCGTGAGCATTTTTTTTCTATAAAACAATTAAACTAAATCGAGTTTTGAGTTTGATGTATCTCTTGTGCATCAGTGCTAGATACGCAGAGAAAAATAGGCAGTTTTTTCCGCTTTTTTTCAAGTGTTTGTGCTCACCCACCGAGACATGGCCCACCCCACTTTTTTAACGAATTTCAGGCGGTTAGGGGGTGGGCGATGACTCGGGATATTATGGTAACTCATAAAACACATTCTGCATTAAAATAACGTTAGACAAGACCTTTCCCAAAATCCAGTGCCACCTGGTGGCTCAAACCAAAGCTTAACTTTCGCCGTACTGACGGCAGTAATGAACCGGTGGTCCAGAGTATTTTACGGGTCAGATGAGAATGTGTTTTTAATTGTGCAGTTCTTTCTCGGCCTCTTTTGGTAGTTTTATGGATGGAGAAAACAGCTTGAACCTAAAGAAGAAAGGCGCGAGGTACACCTAAGCACTTCGTATGAGTTGCAAATGCGAAAGCATGCATGCCGTTCTTCCGCTCCCGTGTTTCATTTGCAGTGTATTTGCGTCGGCTGTGCGAGCACTCTCTCAACTCTCCTCACAGCTCTGACCTTGGACGCTTCGTGTTACAGGCGCGCTCGCTGCACTAAAGTCCCTCGATAAAATTCACGCTTACAAGCACCGCCAACCATTGTTGTGAAAACACGCAAGACACATGCCACAATCGGGTGCTCTGTACCCATTTGCTTCCAAAAGCGGCTCATTTCAGTGCTGCGCCGCCATTTGCTTCCAAAGGCCGATCGAGACACGGGCCTCGTGCACAAGAAAAACGCAAACATATCGAGGGGCTTTACGCGGCACGGACACGCAACACCATGAGCAACAGTCGTAGAAACTGACTCGCGCAGTGGCATATGAGAGCCTTGTCGACATGCGCCAGCCAATAAGACCGAAGCCGAATTCCATCAGCTTTACTCCGCTTCTTTGGGATAAGAGAAACTACGGTAGGTGCCGTTGTCTAGGCTTTTTGCATGGTTTCATAGCTGGGAGTTGGCTTCACTCGGAGAAAGGATTTAAGCTGCCATTTAGCGCGCTTCAAAATGATGACGTCGGCTCGCTCCACAGGACAGTTAATGCTTTCGCATTAAAACATAAAGAAAACAGGAGAGATGAGACGAGACAAATGTTTTGGCTCCTGTTTTCTTTCTACGTTTCTTCTCTAAGATCAGGCTGTTTTTTCCAAGTATGTACTAACTCTCAACTCATCACCGTTAGTTGGTAGTTTCAACTGCGAAAAAAATGTAATCGGTCCTAACAAAGCCCCAACCATCCTAGACTCTTTGATAAAATTCTACACATTAAGGGGCTTTAGGGCTAACTGTGCGCTGCCAACAGATTGACTGGACTCGAGTTAGAAATGAATGCTTACGAAGGTTTCGTATTCAATTCCTACGTCACATCGTACTAACATTTCGGATCTGTAGGCTTCGCATCAACGGCTTGGGAGCATCTTCAACTTGTTTCATTAGCAACTAGAAAGCCACGTTAGTATGGCAAACACTATGCCGTTCCTGGATTGATGGATACTAACAGTTGTACCCTTTATAACGAGCAGTAGCTTTTACCACATAGCCATCCTCAGATGACAGTGACCAAAGTGGCCAGACTAATTTTCGGAAAGGGTTTATTGAACTAAAGCAATCATATTCACTTTGGAAGAAAAAAAAAACAGGCCCCAGTCGCCTAGGTTACAAAAAAAAGACAGGCATAGAAAACATTTCTTTAGAGTGTATTGCTATTAACAAACAAAATATGAAGATTGGAACAGCAAGGCTGAAGTATGTTTATACTATTACTAGCACACCCATTTGAAATGTGTATGTATTTCTATAGTGAAGAACTATACTGGGGTTCTGCACGGCATTTCAGTGATATTGTTAGATACGAATTACCTTAGGATAAAGTTTGCTTTCATTCTCTTCCATTATCTTTTAGGGGAGATTCCGTCATTGCAACGACTTTTTGACAATGAATAACAATAAAAAAGGTCCTCTCACTCTCCCTCTTCTTTATCTGTACCTCTGTCGTCAAATATATATACTGTAAAATACTGGGCAAGCGCCCACTCAAAATGTAGAGATAATCGCGAAAAAATGGGGGACGGGCGCTTGTCCAGTCATCAATTTTACGTATAAATATACTGTGCATATTTTTTCATATCTTAGAAATTTGAATATGGGCGCTTAATGTGAAATGGGCGGATGTGCGGTATTCTACGGTATATATATATATATATTTTTTTTTAAATAATTTCTGGATATGGAAAAACGTTTCTATAGTAAATTATAACATGCCAAAGATATGAATACATTGAATGAAAGATAAATTGTGCCCATAACAATAGTAAAGAAATATGGCATACCCGCACAGTGAAGATACTGATAAAAAGTGTGAAGATGTTTCCTAAAAGGACTAATTTCACTGTACAGGGGTTTTACAAGTATGGCAATTTACTGTCATGCTGGCCAGCTAGGAAACGAGAAGGAACATTTCAATGTAGATTCAGATTGTTGGCTTTCGAACGAGCTTACAAGAGCGGTCATCTGCTGCATGGTTGGTGGAGGTCACTCACCTTTTTCAGCTCCATCAGGAAGCTGTCCAGCGATTCGTCGGATAGTTTTCCCACTTCAAACATGGTCACAGCATGGCTCTTCAAGCCCTGCATCACAAAACACGTCACCGTCTTTTTGGCAGCTTCCTCGTCACTTAGAAAGCAGACTTCAATTTCAAGTTAAAAGGCCAAACACGTTTATCGAGGTGTGCAACCGACAAAAATAAAATAGATATTGTGGACAGAGGTAACAGGCATTCCTTCTCAAAATAATGTCTATAAAAAACGTGTTGCCATGTTTTGCAAAAAGCGCTCGTCTGAAAAAATGAGACTGTTTGAAGCAAGCAATCATACCAATCAGAAAGCACATAACTAATTCCAGCAGAGTTCTCCAAAAGAAAGACAGAAAGGTTCACAAAAAAAAAGTGAATTTGGGCTGTGTACCACCAAGACGCACAAATTATTAAAGTCTGTTGAAGATAAGAGCTATAGAAAAGGCTCCGAAATCCCAGTAAGCATTAAAACACAACATATCTGACGTAATGTCATGAGAAAATTATACAGGCTCAACCATGCTGATCAAGGACCAGAAAGCACAGAATCTGTCCCGCACAAACCACATTCTGTGTGTCGTTCGTGCTAAACGTTTCATTCTTTTTATTGTCTATTTTGTATATTTTTCTCTCCAAAGAATTCTACTTTATTTTTTAAATTATTTTTATTTATTTTAATTATTACTTTCGTCCAAAACTAGCCGCTCTCGGTGGCGTGTTTGCGTTCAAATAAAAATCATTTCTATCCCTCCAGACCAGCTGTTCGAATAGCTCCGTGGTTATATCTGATTGCCACCGCATCGACCAAAGTTCGAGCCCGGCCTTAACGTCTGTAACGCTCCCTATGACGCTAGCTATGACGGTCGTTATGATGCTTCTTTGTGATAATTCTCTCATAGGAAACGTCCCATAAAACACATTTCACAATAGAAGCATTTGCCAGAGCTTTTATCCTTAAAAGCTGGCACTCTCAAAGAATGTTCTTCAAAATGCCCAATGTGTACCAACACATTGGGCACTGAGCAAAGTATTTTTCGTGCGTGGACAGCTATAGGCGTGCATTTGCACGTCTGCATTAACACGTAAGTGCAATAAGGCGCAAAGGTGACCTCAGTAAAGCTTGCGTAGTTTCCAACTCGGCAGAACAGAAAGGAAAGGCAACTGATTATAGCAAAAGGGGGAAAGGACAGAAATAAGAGCTTTAAAAAGGAAAATTCGACGACGTCAGTGGTGCAACGCTCAGAATCTGTTTCAACTGCTGCCTACAGGCAATTGCCAAGCGCTTCGCACATTGGGCAGCAGACGTTACTGGCCCGCAGGAACCACAGCGTGAAAACCAACAAAGCGAGAGCAGCTTCACTTTGGCAGGCCTCACTCACCAGGGACAGGTTCCCCATCATGAGGAAAGCGGTGAGGTTAGAGTCGAATAGGAACCCAATCCGCTTCACCCGGTTCCCCACGGACAAGTCTTGGGATGCTGTAGCAAGACGACACACATCAACGAGTGCGCTCAAACTCTCGTGGAAAATAGGGTCAGAAAATAAAATAAAGAGCGACGCCGACAGCGGCGCACGAAGAGGCGGTCGGCAACTATTTCAATCAATGATTTCTTATAAAAACAAAAGAATATCCCTAAATAAATCGTTCGCACATACATAAAAAAATAAACTATGTTCCACGAGAAAAGAAATGGAGACACCATTGACACTGCAATTTGGGAGTTGCGATTGATGCGTTGTCAAAGAACTAAAACTGCAACATTGTTACAACGTGTACGTAACCTCCCAAAGTGTCTCGGCGATAAAAATGTTTAAAAAGAAACCTCCTGCATACGTGGCTTGTGTAAACGGGTATTCGGGAATGACCACCTCACGTGCAACACTGTACCCTACCAAAAATTTATTTCAAATTGATTATGAAAGCAGCACTCGTGCCCGAGATCAGCTTTAGTAAAACGTTGGTTGGCGTCCTAAAAAAGACCCGAGATATCTAAGCACCCTAACATGCCGACGCAAAAAAACTTCGATCGTACAGCGTGGCCACCGACAGGTGGAGGACGCTGGGGCGTTTCTTTCCAAAGTCGGGCCACCAGCGAATGCTCGTCGCCCTTCGCCCCGCCTCTGCTGCGCGTCCACGCTCGAGGCGCGCGATATGCCGCAGTGTTACCGAAGGTGGGAAGCTTGTTCTGGCGGTGGTACAGCTGGAAGTACCTTCCTGCCATTCTCATCCAAACCACGACCATAATGGGGACCGAGGCCACCCCGAGTGAGAATCCGAAACAGCATGGGCCAGCCGGTTGTTCTTGCACCTCACTGACCGGATTCGTCGAGGCTCGCAGAGTCCGGAGAGGGGTTGGGCTCCCCCACGAGGCTCCCTTCCTTCTCCACTTCCGTGTGAAGCACCGACATGAACTCCTCCACCTCCCTCGTGTTCGACCTGCCACAAAGAGCGCCGCGTTTGCGAGCCGTTCGTCTCTCGAAACGTGGGCCCTTAAAAATTAAATGCCACAAAAAAACACCCGGCGATAAAACACTGCCGTCACGTGCGAAAAGAGGATTTTAAGTTCGAAGCAAATATGAAATAGTATTCGATTTGGTGTTCTCTTTTATGATTGAATTGATTATCAAATAGAGTCTCTGAGCCTTTCACAACTTCACCGTGCTTAAAAGAAAACCCAGCTGAACTCGTGAAGATTGTTCCCAAGCTTCCACTTGTCCATTTCTAAGCTACCATAGAATACCGGGCATCGGCCCTGAGAAAATACAGACCATACATTTGTATGTAAAACTGATGGCCGGTTAAGCGCCCATCCTCCATTTTTTTGCGATTGTCTCCAAACTTTGAGTGGGCACTTGCTCGGTATTTTACGGTAAGTTCTTTCAATTCAGCTATATTTATGGACTGTGACCTCAGAAAGTACAATGCCAACATTGGGATGGCAAGTAAACGATGCATTCAGCATAAAATTCAACCTACAGAGATGCCCAGCGATATCTGATCAAAGGGAGTTATAAATTTTGCTATGTGCAAATTGCTTTTCTCCAATCTAGAATTAAAAAATAAATAACAATAATAATAATTACAAATGATGAACGCAGGTTGTCAGGGCCCCCATCTCTGCCTAACATATACTTAATTGCATAACAGCCACAGTTTAATTTTAAAAATTTTACAGCAATGTAGATATCAACTTTAAAAGTTTGTTTCTTTTTAAATACAGCAAGTGCGCGAGTGCACTATCCCGCTTTGAAAGTGTACGCTTTTCTACAAAGCACACAATTGCGATATTCATACTTTTTTGAAGCGTTGATCGCGGCGTGTTAGCCTGTCGAGTGCACTTCTTACCGAGCACCGGTGCACTGTGGAAAAGCAACACCAGCGGAACTCGCTTCCGCAGGTGTTGCTTCTCCGCAGTGCACCTCTGCTCGGTAAGAAGCGCACTCCACGCGGCTAAAACACCGCAATCAACACTTAGAAAAATTTGAATATCGAAGTTCATCTCGAAGCGAATATTGATTAGTGTATTGTATTCTAAACTACTATTCGAAATTTCAAATATTCGCACAACACTATAAAACACGGAAGAACTCCTCAATAATAAGCCAATTTTTTCTATATTGGTACATCATCATGTGCTCTAAATTAAAGTCATCGCTACCAATGTCGCCGCATTTCACCGAGATGTGCACCAAGCAAATCCGGTGGCAACAAACCCGGACAAGGACTACATTGGTAATGAGAGCTGAGCCGGTAACGCTTGCACAAGCAGTTTTAAGGTACTTACAAATCTACAGATGTAGCAAAGCTTTAGAAATACAAGATTGCTTTATTAGAGAGATTGGAGTACAGTCAAACTCGTTTATAACGAACAGCAGGAAACGCTACAATCAGTTCGATATAGCAAAAAAACATTTACAACGAACTTCCATGATGAGTTCGTTGTAAGGCGAGAGCCTCTCTTTCTTTCTCATCTCTTCACTTCTGCCTTGTAACAACGCGCTAAAAACATTTTTTTTGTGTGCAGTTTATTTTTTTTGCTTATCTCTCCCTCTGAATCGCTCCTCCTCGTGGGCAAACGCTTTGAAATGAAAAGATTTTTTTTTTTTTTTTGCGTGTTTGCAGGGTATTTTTTAGCTCCCCCCCCCTTCCCCCCCCCCCCCCCCCCCTTTTCTGGACCGCTTCTCTTCGCTCAACTTTGTTGGCAACTTGAGGTTTTTGAATTTTCTTTCTTTCCTACTTCTCTTTTTGGGGAAGGGACAGGCTAGAAGACGATTGTTTGCCCATTTATGGAAGCCTTCCCGGGGGAAAAAGTTCAATATAGCCAATATGTTGTTCGTTATAAAACATACTTTTTACATCCATTTTTATTTAAATTTTCCTCGAGTTCAAAATCAATAATAATTCGCTGTACGTGAGTTCGTTCTAAACGGGTTTCACTGTACACAGTAGTACTACTAGAGTAGCATAAATATGAAAACAATAAAGCAAAGTTGTGGTATGACGTTGTCACTTGGACAGGCACTTGAGGTGCTGACAGTAGTAAAAACACGGATGCAGCCAATCTCTTTGGCTTGAAAATCGATATTGTTACACATACATTCTATGAGGAATCCAAAAAACCAATCGGTGACTGGGTCTAACAAACTCACTTGATGCTCTTGGAGTTGACGGTCAACCAGGAAGGGTCGAGGTTCGAGACATCCTTGTTCTTCTTGAGGGCAAAGCCCAGACGACAGTACATTGACACCGCATTCTGGAGCAAGGGAAAAGCATCGATGTCGGTTCATTAGAACGCCTGTTCTGTGGAATGTTTAGTTCGACACCATTTCCGATTGTCTCTCACTGCCGCTTGGAATGCAACATGTCTAAAAATGAATAAAAAACATAAAATGTTTTTTTTTGTTCAATATAAAGTATATGGCATTTTGTATCATGGAATGCAACATAGAGTATGCCTAGATGCCGCGAACAGATTATCATTGTGTCATTTCTACTTAGTGGTGTCGGTCTCGACTGCCGAGAGTTGGGGTCTCGGGATGACGACGCAGACCAGGGTGCACAAATATGGCGGTGATCACATGGGTCCAAGACTACGACGTCATGGTGGCTTCGTTGTCCTCTCTTATTACAACATATGAACCACAGATGTAGACATCATCGCAGGTTTTTGTGCCCATGTGGCTGCCAACAGAGTTGCACTCCCTTGTCCATGACATCATCCTGAGATCCCGCCCTCAGGTATTGAAACCGACACAACTAGGAATAAAAGATGCAATTATAAATTATTGTTACAGCGTCTCGACACATTTTATGTTGTGTCCCATGATTAGCAATGCCACATGCATTATTTAGAGCAACCCCAAAACTCCTGTGTAAACAAGGTCGTCGTACACACTTAGTAGTTACCAAAGACGGACCAGGAGACTTCAGTGGAGGGTAGTGCACCAAACACGCTTGGGTGCCTTTTAAAGGTTTCTTTTTTACTCATAGGCAATGTAAGCCATGTCAGGTATTTTTCAGGTATTATTATACCAATTTTTTCCTTATTTTAGAAAAAAATCTTTTCTGGCTCTATTCCATGAACTAATCAATAAGAGCTTTCAGTTCAAAATGGCAGCACGGGAAGATGCTTTGAGATGCATACATTCTAGAATCGAAGAATGGCAGAAAGGCGTGGCCGCGATTTCGCAGTTTAACAAAGGGCAATCACGGCTGGACGTACGAAGCAGGGCTCCACCTTGTAATTAGGCACGTGCAAATAGTGGATTTTAAGTTCAAAGTAAATACTAGCTGTTTTGACCGATTATTTTCTAATTGAATATCAAATCGTCGCTGCACCTTCCTCCAAGCCTTTCACTACTCTTAAACCAAGCTTTTAGCAAAAACCGAGTTCAACTCGGGAAGGTTCTTCCCAAGCTTCCACTTGTCCACTTCTGAGCTCAGTTAATCTTAACTAATAGTATTTATGGACTGTGGCCTTAGAAAAGTCAATGCTTATATTCGGGTGGCAAGTAAACTATGGATTTGACATAAAGTTAACCCTACAGAGGTGTGCAGCTATACCTAAACGAGGTGATATATAAATCTTTTTGCTGCGTGCATGTATCCTTTCTTCAATCTCAAATTTGAGGGAAAAGAAAGCACAAATGAGGAATGCAGGTTGTCAGGACATCGCCGTCTAACACGTACTCTTGCATAATAGCCACAGTTTAATTCTAAAAATTTTACTGCAAGTTGACATGACGCAATCCACTTACGATGACACCTCATTATTTGTATAATGATGTACTGCTTATAACTATCAGTTTTTAGAGTTTCCAGACCAGAGACGATCAGTTTCTAGTCCAGATGCAACGATAATCAGTTATAACGATTCAATTTTCAGGTTTTCACATTATTGTTATAAGGGGATTGCACAGTATCAACATTCCCAAAGTTTCCCTTTCTTTTGAATACACCCGGTGCACGCAGGCACCATTCTACTTTAAAGGTGTGTTTCTTTCCCTAAGCGGTGCGCTAAAGCAAAGCGAGGTTCATGGGATTGGGATGTCGGCTCTGCGGGTATCGCTTCTCCGCAGATCACCAATGCGCGGCACGAAGTGCACTCAATGGGGCTAACCCGCCCTGATCAACACTTCGAAAAGTGTGAATTACACAGTTCATCTCGAAGCGAATAAAGAATAGCATATTATTTAGAGCTACTATTCGAAAATTAAAATATTCACACACCCCTAATTGTAATGCAATGCCAATGAGGTAAAGAATATGCGAAGGAACAAGCTCACAAACTCAGTTGCTGACTTTGTGCTTTGTTGCATTCCAATGCAATATGAAGCATCATTCATTCATGCCTTAATGCTTCTACCGGGGCAGTGAAAAAAAAATTGGGTTACCTTAACAAGTTGTAGGTCTATTTGTAGCACAGTGGCAAGCTGAAATCACATCAAAATACCATTAGATAGCTGGCATGGAGCGAAGGAAGAGTTTCTCTGCGATTTCAGTAAACACTGGTTTCTAATGCCGAATAAATTAGCATGAAATAGCAGCCCCTTTACTCACGTCTAGCAAATGTTTTGAGGAGAAAATAAGAAAATTGCAGACCACAAAGAAAGGAGGCATAAACGATAGTTGACCACTATCTGTGTCTACCGTGCAATCTTTCATTAAAAACAAAAAGGCTCATCCAAAGCATTTTATGAATTCATTCAGCTTAATGTACTATCAAAGAGGCACGCAAAAAATAAAGCCGCCTCAAAGCATCTAGGCATGTCCCCAGTTCAAATGTCTCTAACAAGTTCCATAAGCTTACAACAACCCTGCCTTATTGGAAATTAAAGCTCAGCTAGGCGATAAACCTCCGACTAGATTGGCATCACCTGCATTCTCTGTATGTACCCTAACATAAAAAAACTCCTTCGGTGCAGAAGTTGGCACAAAGAATTATAATGGGGGTCTATGTCATAGAACAACCAGGGACAAGCACAGGGTTCAAACCTTGTGCCCCAAAGGTCAAAACGAAAACCTCAATGCTATGGAAATTTTCAAAAGTGTTCAACTAGGGTACTCTATATGTAAATTGTATGATTTTTAAAGAGGAGTCCGACTCGAGGGAGCTCACACAATTTTTGGCACTCACTACCGTACAAGATAAAGCAGCTACGCAGACGAGATAGAAAGACGGCTGACTCACCTCCGAGAGGGGAGTGTTGCCATCGATGGACACAAAAATTTTGTACAGCAGGGTTTCAAAATAGTCTCCTAAAACTCTGTTCATAACAAACCCCTCAAGGGGAGGCACTGGAGGACAGAAAGAACGGAAAAGCGAGGGTGAACCACAAGCCCTCCCCACAATCACTTTCCGAGGGTGATGAGAGTGGGAATCACCTGAAATGCAGTCGTGGTCGTCCATCGGAACATCCAGGTAGACCAGACCCTTGACGTACAAACCTGACCAAGGAGACAAAGTTTAGAGCGTCTACTCTGGTTCATCGGTTCATTTCTAAGGATATTTGCTGATCATAATCTCAGCGCTAAGCTCTTTCATGTACAATGACACACAAGCGCAGCAGACCTTTCGTAAGGTAAAGTAAATTTACGAAACAAAAAATTTAAATATTCACTGCCGCACAAGGAAGCGGGTCAGATGCGCCTCGAATGGATCCCAGAAATTGGTCTCACAGGAGGTACGCTGTTGAAATTTACTGCAAACATGTGGCTAGACCAAACATACTCATACGCATCTCAAAGAATGTCAAGGAGGTAAACCTGTAATATGCGCTATTGAGATTGTCCTTTTACAATGCGAACGCTACCTATGCGCTCCAAGCGTTCTAGAAAACCCAAAACTATGTGTGCGGCTTTTTCTCTCCACTAAATGCAACCGAGCATTGCAACGCGCCTCTTTGCCCTAAGCATCCCAGAAGATAAAAAAAATATGATTGTGTGTGGCTTTTTTTTATAAAAAAAAGTATGGTCAAATATTATGCCAACACCCTTTGCCCCAAAGCACCCCAGAAAACCAAAATCGCAATCATGTGTGGCCTTTCCTCCTTTCACAAACGCAACCAAATCTTTTGATACCTGTCCCGAAAAAAGGTGTGCGCAGCAATGTTCCGTCAAAATTCAGTGTGAAACAAGGCTACACACGATTGCAATTGTGGGTTTCCCGGGATGCTCAGGCAAACTCGGCACATAGGATGAGTTCGCGCCGTAAGAGGACGGTCTCAAAATCCATTTTAGTGGCCCCCTTAACAATAAGCTTGCACGTTAGAATAAAGGAAGAGACTGGCAGTCGATCACTGCCTCTCGCTCGCTACGCGAGCTACGAAACTAGGGAACGGAGTGCACCACACTACAGTGAACGACGTGCAAACAAACATACTCCTCACGTCGTCTTCTTTCAGCGTGCCAGCTCTCTGTGGACCGTCGTCGATCACTTTGTCAACGATTTCCTTCTCCGATGGCGTCACCATCTGCGAGAGTCAACGAAAGAAACTTTGGAGATGGAATAAACGTTGCGGCCACTGTGAGGTGAAGGCAGGGAAGCCAAATGCTCCTGACACAGCTATGTGCATTGGCAAAGCAGCAATGCCCTCCATGTTGTGTGGTCCAAACTGGTGAATAATCTCTTAGAAAGCTTGAAAGAAATTGCAGAAAACTAGGAAACAGTCGTTTAGTACACTGACAATGACAGATGCTTTTTAGCGTCTTAACGAAAAACATAAGCAGTTCATGTTTAAAAACATTGTTGAATGCTCTCATAACTGGAGAAAAGGACATTGTGGAACACTTCATTTTATTAAAAACGCTCAAGAAAATGCATGCATCTGTCAAAAAAAAAATGCCAACTAGGTATGCCTTCGTATGAAATGAGCTCAATATATGTTCTTCGAAGTTAATTCAAATAAATTTATAGGAAAGGGAACCGCAGTTATATTAAAGGAAGAAAGGTAGACCAAGCCGAAAAGTGCTGCATCACTCTTAGACTCCCCAGCCCCCAAAGAAGCCCTAAAAGGGTAGATAACGGGACTAGTTGGTAATTAAACATCTAAACGGTAAGTGCACACACATGAAGTTGTGAGTAGTGCTTTATCCTGTACCTTCTTTCTACGTGTGCGCTAATACCATTTAGATGCCTAAAGAAGCCGAGCATCTAGGTGAAACTTCAGCTATCACTTGGAGGCTTTGAGACAGTTTCTTTCCAAGCTCTTCCTACCAGCTTCAACCACATTCGTGTTTCGTTTCCAAAGTGCAGAGGGAACCAACGCCATACAATCACACTCTGCCACCTGAAAGTTCAAAAATGACCCCGCAGTACTCTTTTCACAAAACATCATTTGCACGGCCTTATGAAAGGAAAAGCTCATCAGTAGGCGCACAAAGCTACACGTGCACAAGGAGCAACTGAGTAGGACTCGCCTTGATGTCGTCCTCAGTCACGTAGCCGACGCTGATCACCCACCAGGGTTCGATGGGGACATCGGAAACAGGCTTCGAAGGCAGCAGGTCACGCACCGATTTCCGCCGCACAGTAAAAAATTTCTGCAAGCAAGAAGATGACCATGCAACGCGTCACTGTACAAGGAAGCCCAACTAGGAAGAGTTCCTACCTGCAAGGCGCCGTTCAGCGAAGCTAAAGTGTTTACCATACACATTACTGAACGGCAATTTTAACATCGATTCTTGAGATATTTAACGCCACGAGTGGCCCGAGCTACGCAAAATTTGCAAAGTAGCCTCTGTTGCACTGACCCTACCTTTATCGCACCAACTCATTTAAATTTTATTTTTTCCCACGTACAGTAGAAAAGTGGAACAGCCTTCCTGAAGTCCATGTTCATTCACCTTCAGTCGAATTGTTCTTAGAAACGTTAGAAGGCTGTCTGTGAAAAGTTGACTATGTCTGTATTATTTTTTTTTGCATTTTTATAGAACTATTGTGTTTGAACAACAATTCATTTCCTTTTGTTTATAACTTCTTGCAGATTAAAACGAGCTTACCCTTTCTGCCACAACCTCCACAAAGAGGTTAGCAGTTTTAATAAGTAACTAAAGTTGTTCAATTGTAAAAGAGACAACACAGGAAAGAAATCAAGATTGGTCCACAGATCGGACAAAGCGTGCCATGAGTTGTACTGACCTTTGATGACCTGCACTTGTTCATGAGGTCGATGTACTGATTGCGGCCAATGCCGAGAAGCCGCAGGCCTGCAACGACAGGTGCCGTCACCATTGCCAAACGTTCGTGGCGCTTTCAAAATTAAATTAAACAAGTTTACAAAAGTTGAGACTCACAGTCGGTGGCGGTGAAGTTGGGCAACGAATCGTAGCTTCGCTCTTGCTCCATCAAATCCTGGGAAACAGCTACCATTTTATTTTCTGATCATAAATAAAGACGATTGGCACCCAAAGCTCGAGCAGCTGCTTCGGCGAAATTAGACAGCCTCAAGAAAGGGAGCCGACATGACTAGAGATGCCGGAACTTAAAACTTTTAACAAATAGTTCTGAGCAATGGACAGTCGCAAACCATTCTGGATTTGTAAACGGTAGCCATTTTCAACCTTTTAATTGCATTTTTCAGTTGTGTAGTCTTAATAACAACACCCGACAATGTGCTCAGCTGTGATCATCAAAGGAGGTGTTAGGAACTCGTTTGTTACTAAGAATTGTGGCGGTACCAACCACAGCGTGGAACGGACAAGCATGCTGATAGGTTCCTTTCCACTTACATCAGAATGGTGTAGCATTGCATTAAAAAAAAACAATCTGTAGCTTCACATGCATTCCACAAGCAAAGTAAGAAAGATGCCAATTTTTCTCCTTTAGTTTGGACTCTCTCATACACGCACCCCGTATTCGATTCGGAGCTTGCGCGTTCGAATTTCTCCGACGAAGCATGCCGTAACGACAAGCGGTGCCGCTCGCAAGTCTGCAAAATGTTCTTGAGGGGGCCGAGGTAAAGAAAAATACAACAAAGAACGAAGCTCAACCTCGAACCACCGTGCGAAGTAGAAATCGGCGCGAGAAGCGCCTGGACGTGCCTGCATGACAGAAATGTAGTACTGGAACGGCGTGATCCTCATCCTCGTCACAATGTAGTCCGACAGGTGGTACGGGTAGAGCATCAGGTGGCTGCGGCTGTACTGCAGCACGTTCTCGTAGTAGGACTTTTCGTCTCGATGAAACGACCGCACTGCCACAGAGGAGCAGACGCCAGTGTAAATGCCGGATGGCTTCTCACTACGAGTATGATGCGTGCAACGAGTCTCCGACCGGTACGTTTGCCGCGTCCATAAAAGCAGTTTCTCGATTTCCACCCGACGGTGTTCACGGCAGTGTCGCAGCGGCAGTGGTAGATGTGGAAGGTGCCGGTTTCTGCTGCCGGTCACCGTCCAGCTGGACGGTCCCCAGAAGCTTCGGCAGCCAGGAGCTGGGACGCCGTGACGACGGCGACGCTCCTGTTTGCTAGTGCTGTTCACCGTAACTTCTACGACCAATCGCCAGAACCGTGACGTTCGACGGCGTAACACTCAGGGCTTTTCCGACATCGTTTGTCACCACTTTGGGACCACTTTTGATGCACGGGTGGAATAAGAAGATCCTAATCACACCGGTCGAGACGTATTCCAAGCACCATACTCGTTATTATAGTGACAAAAAAAAAATAAGGGAATAGCACGCTGCAGTTTATAGAACAAAAATAAAAAAATAAAACATTAAAACAAAATTATGAATTGATGATGCCTATTGCTTTAATCCCAGGCGCAATTTCTACAGCGTATCCAATTGTCAAGCACACTGCGGAAACAACTAATTGGGGAACGTGAAAGCCAGTCTCGCATTACAGCCTTTCAGAGTCTACTCAAAATTGCAGCATTAAGAGGCATTAAAAAGATGGGGAAAAAAATCATCAAGCTGACCCAAAGATCTAATTGTTGCGATTCAATCAGCATGTTCTTAAAATACTAAAAGGTGTGAAAGGATATGTATGTCAGTTAAAAGTACTTACCAAGATTTCCACGAAACCTAAGCTGGTTTTTTATGCTGTACTGAAGAACGCTTTTTTCGTACTCTTTTTCTGAATTTCCCAGGAGCTGAAAAAAAAAAAAAAAGAAAAAAAGAAAAGAGAAAAAGTCAGAGGCAAAGCGGGTGTTTTCATTCAGAGTTGATGGCAGCAAAGCCATTGCTTGTAATTGCCTTCCAAACATGATCTGTACTCCGTTTAAAGACGGTGAGTGGACGATACTACCAAAAGGAAGTGTTAGCGCATAGAAATGAGGCGAAGACAATCTACCATTGAGGGCAGGCATCTCTTTGAGCAAATAAACAGCTGATCTAGCAGACAGCACAGATGTTCACTGACGACTAAGGACTGATCGCCAAACACGTGATAGGATATGAACGTAACGATGCAACAAACTGTAACACATCAAAGCTACGTCACCTTATCAGTACTGCTTCGTTGTTTTTGTACCGACTTTTCTTGACAGCAAAACTTTTGAACTCGAAGAAAAAAGAAGGCGACATACCAGTTTTGCACTGTCGGGAAGTTTTCCCCATGGACAGTTCTTGCTGATGAAGCTTTCGATATCTGCACTCATCGTTTCCCGGTAGATTCGAGGAAATAAACAGCTAGGCCATAGAAACGTCCAATTAAAAGCAGTATGCCCGAAAAAATCAGGGGAAATTTGTCGACTTGGCAAGCCGCAAAAAAGGGCGACGGAAAGCCATGTTGTTCGATGCGTTTGTCGATAGCACTGACTGCGAGGACCAAATACAGAAAGAATTTGGTATGCCAAAACTCCAGTTTTGGTTTCGGTTTCAAATTAGGTCGGCTTCTTCAAAAGAGTGAGTTTATCATACGATTTATCATTTGTTATCATACGACCGAATGAGTTGTGCGCGCTGTTAGAAAGAACAAAAGCGACGCGTGAAACGATTACCTTTATACACAGCTCCTCCGGTTGGAATAGTTCAGCAGACATCGACTCATTCGTCATTTGTATTATTCACAGAGTTGTCGTATGCGATATTATCCACCAAAATGCGTCCCTTCTCACATCAGAGGAAGCGGTCACGTGTGTAACAAGCGCGACAAATCTCCGCCCCCGTAACTGTTCGCTCCTGTGGTTTGCTCTTCTCGGGGAGTAGACGTTTGAGCACGTCTAGTTACTGTTCGTCAAATAATATGAATTAATAAAATAATAAAAAAAAAAGAACTTCTAATATATTTTGGCGTTTCGACGTCACTGTACCCGCTGCAGAAAAACAGAAAGATTCGCCCATTTCTCTTCATGATTATGCCACATATCACCAAATGCTATTGTTTTATGTCAAATTGGGGTCCATATTACATGAGCGAATGACGTTTTAGTGAATAACGGGGGCGTGCGTTAACCCATCCGCCGCGCTGCGCTTCCGCCGCTTCGCGGCGAGTCTGCGGCGGCTCATTACAAAAATGAGAACCCATTTGGTTGGGCCAACCCGAAAACGCCGCTTCGCGGCGTCCGACTATTCGCTAAAGCGTCATTCGGTCAAACGTGGGCGTTCGCTAAAACGCCATTCGATCAAGTGAGTGCCTCCCGCCCTTCAGTAATGTTTGTCTCGTTCTAAACAATTTAACTGAACTACTTCTTAGGTTTTGCACACATTAAAGGGATACTACAACGAAATTTCGGTGCTCATCTTTTTGGTCTATATGTGTTCAAAAGAGCAGTATCACATGGAACATACCAATATCTTGGTAAAAAAAGTCTCAAAAAAGGAATTTTAAAACAAATTAAAAGATTAGCAAAGAGCACCTGGTGGATGTCGCTAACGCCTCGTTTGTAATGCTCGTCTAGGAACCTTGACAGCTAGTGACTGAGGTTGTCTCGTCTTCGGCCACGACGAGAGAAGGGGGGAAGGAGGAACTCCCCTCTTCCCGAGAATCCCTTTTGTGTGTCTCAGAAGTCGGTATTGTCCCCCTAAAAGATTATAGAAGATTAACCCGTCACTCAAAATTCGTACAAAAGCAGCCGCTTCGGTGGCTGGAACGACTAGGCCAACCTCTCTACGTCAGCCTCGCCGTAGCTTTGCTCGTCTTGAGATGACCTATGTCACGATTGCTTTGGATGTCACGTGCTCTAAGCTGGGCTTTCTCCGAGCGCTTGCCAGAGTGGGCCGTTTATAACGAAAAATACAGCCACCAGGATCAAAATACAAACGTGCGATTGTCATTTACGGATATTGTGGATCATATTCAACCCATTTTTGAACACGACGGGACTATTTCAAATTTCGTTGAAGTATCCCTTTAAAGGAACACCTCCTTATTAATGCTTTTGGATCTAGGACAAGATCAATACATTCAATACATAAATATACTTGCTGACTACTCCCCCCCCCCACCCCCCACCAAAAAAAAGAAAATCATTTATGCATTAAGCGGCTTCAGTTGAATTTTAGGCCTCTTCAACATGCGACGAAAACATTTTAGCGAATGGGGAAAATAAGAATGTCCGAGCCTCGCAGATTGGTTTCAAGGAATACTTCGTTTCACCCAAGCCCAGTTGCAGAGGACACAACAAGCTGATAACCCAACCAGACCGCGTCATAAGCGCACAATCATGAGGTTCGTCATGATCATGTACATGTTTTATCATCACTGAACCAATCAAAGAAGGCCCAGTGAGTTGCGCTTTTGACCCTGCTTCAAGTTTCATTGATCCTATTAGCTTCCCACTTTTCCCTCGCTTCCTCCTCCCCCCTTCCACCATTGCCTGTTTCCTTCTCCCCCATGCTGAGGAGGACCTTCTGCCTTGCAGAATCTAGAGTATGGTCAACAGCCTTTAAGCTGAAACAAAGTATAGTGATCTTTAGATATTCTTTATAATCAAGGGTTCAAACAGCACATAGTTCCAGCAAAAGCAGCACATACTCCGTTTGGTCTACAGATACGAGCAGTCGTAATTTGGCCTAACAAGACATGGCGTCGGGCTATTTGGTGCATGATGTCTTTGTTCGGGGCCCACTAGAGAGACAAATAGAAACAAAATGACACCGACCTACCTCAAGCATGTACAGTGTGCATGCAAGGGTAACCCTAACAGGCTTGCAGTCTCTGGGTGCTCTTGAACATGAACGACTTGATATCGGCCAAACCTTTGCGTGCACAATGCTTATACTTACCGTAAAATACCGAGCATCCACTCATTCCACCATAAGTGCCCATCCCTCAATTTTGTAACATTTGCAAAATACAGAAAGGACATATATTTACATATTGTTGATCTAAGGTGCACCCATTCCCCAATTTTACATCATTATGTCCAAATTTTGAGCGGCGCTTGCTCGGGATTTTACGGTAAAGCTCGTTGCTGTTAATTGTTTCTGTTTATTGCTCTAGTGAAGCTGAGGCATCAGAAAACTTGCAAGAGCCAATGGAGATGAACACGAAGGGAATGCACACAAGCGCAGTGTCCATTTTCTTGGAGCAGAAAAAAAAAAAGACAGATATCCTAAAACATTCTTTACATGAGGAAGTTCCACCATTTGCTAAAACATCTTTGAATCAATGTTTGACAGGAGCCCAAAACTTGGGAACCTAGCGGATCCGTTCAGTAAGCAATACAGAGGCAGCGGCAGCGGTGGTTACTTACCAAACTAAAAATTTTTATTAAGTTTCCATTACACGCAGTACAAAAAAAAGGGGGGAGGGGCTACAGAAACTACACAGTGTACACCACCATCTTTTTTTCGTTTTCTTTAAGTTTTGCTGGCACTGAACGTCTACACACCACGTTACACGCTAAAAAGAAAACTCCCGGCCTTGCGCCAGCAACCAGACGGTCCGTTTTTGTTTGTTTCGAGAATCCCCGCAACACAGAGGACGAACCGACACGTTCCTGTAAGAAGGGCTCCGACAACTCGCAAAAAAAAGAAGATATCAAACCGTGCTCCCTCAAAGATCCGGCAGAGGTGAAACAACCCGGTCCGTCCGGACAACGCTTTCACTGTAAAAATCTGCGGTCATGCGACCATGCTTGTCAGGGGGAACGTAAGACAAGCCCTCCACTACGACTTTTCCGAACAGCTAAAATCCGCCCTGGCCTCGTCTACTCTGGAAGGGCGATGGTCTGCGATTACGACGCCGGCATGCCCTACGTTCTCTCGAGCCTTTCCACTTTTCTTCTTTTTTTTTTTTTTTCATACACAGGGTGGCTATGAAGCCATATTCGTTCTAATGGGGGTGAGAAGGCTGAGATGCGTTTTTTTTGTACTTGTGTTACATCAGTAGCGTTCATGTTTATGTTCAGCCATGAGAGAGTTGTAGGAACTGTGAATACTGAGGTCGCTTAAAAAAAACCCGTGCTCCACAAAAACAAATTTTTCCGCTGGAATGGCCAACTACTGGATGTGAGGCTCTTTAAGAAAAAATGACACTAGAGATGGCACGAATGTTGCTCCTGCAGCCCCATGCCCGATTTCGGGATCGACTTTTGGTGAGGTTGTCTGCAGCCGTCTGTTCTAAATATGTTGGGACAGACCGCGGCTCTACGGGCACCTTTAGACGCACATCAATGTGCGGATCCTGTTTCAACTCAGAAGTAAGTAGGTAGTTGTTTAGGCAAGCCTAAGCAATTAAACCTAAATTAAATCTCCGACTCCATCTTACAAGAAGTGTCGAACTAAACATGAGGTAGTAGATGTGTTGGTCAAAACATGTAAATTGTGTGTTGGAGGGGTCGGGGCAAGCAGGAGCAGACATCTAATGTCACAAGAAGAAAAAAAAAAAAAGGACTTCTGCCAATTAAACGACGGACACTCATCTGCAATTATGGAACGGCGAGCCTTCGCTGAAAAAACACCCACCATCCAAATTTTATGAATGATACAAGTAGCTTTTCTGAAGTCTCTACATATTCCCATTAGGTTGTTCCGATGTCGCAATTTTGGTCTCAGAACTCTAACTCTACCGGCGGACGTTAGAGGCCGGTGCTCTAGTCGGCGAAGGCTTACTGCTTACACACACAAAAGAAACCCAAAACAGCAGGACAGTCGCAACTCGTCTTGCGAACAGACAACAAGGACTGCACAAAGTATTGTTCAGGGAAAAGCTACCAGTTGATCAGGGCTTGTGACATAATCAAATGCTTCACTCATGTTTTTCTTGTTTTTGGATATTGATGTCCCAATAACTACAGCTTGCGTGCAAATGTTCGAACCACAAAAAGCAGCGATTTTACTTCCGTCAGCTACAAATACCAGTTCAAAACACAATGAAACAAAACACTGAGGCAGTTACACTTTTTTTTTTGCATGTCAAACTTTTCTGTGTATACTTTTTACAAAAAAACAAATATGGAAAAGTAAAAACACATCATCGTTACTCTGTGAAAGAAGGCCATACCCTGGGAGGTGTTAGAAACCAGCACAGAGCTCGTGCTACAGAACCCCCCCCCCTTTCCAGGTTGTGCAATTTCAGCCCTTAAAAACAATTAGGAAAAAAAAAAATTGTCTCAAAAGACAAAGGCGGATTGTCTCCCAACCAGGTATATGGCCCCCTCCTGATTTTCCTGAGATACCAAAGTGCATAATAAAAAAAAAGGAAAAACACCACGGCAGAGAGTGGTTTCATGCAACGTCTCGCGCAAGATACACCGTAAGGGGATGGGTGGGAGGCATGACACAAAGTTTTATGTACGCATACCGTGCGCTACGTGAGAAATGACAAAATATGCGCCCGATATAAAAAAGAAAACCCTCCATCTAACAAAATATATATCCATACTTAAGTAAAACTCTACCTTCAACAAAAATAGTGATTTTTATCTCATCTTCGCGAGTCTGGATGCTTCTAAGCGCCCTATCTTTGTATCTGTCTCTATTTTCACAATCAATTTGCCCACCTTCCTTTATTTTGTAGTACACCGTAACCCAAAGACGGTCCTCGTCCTAAGACACAATCCAATCTGGTTGTCCGACGAACAATTACAGGCCGATTCTTCCGCCGGCGCAGCAGAGGCATTGAGACACAGAACCCGCTTCGTTTGCACCCTCTGAGTGTAAATAGAAACCATCCAATTCGACCTGACGACGTGTACACGCTTCCATAGGCATGACTTATTGAGTTAATAGTTGGGACTCTTTTTATTGGTTTCCTGGTATATCCTAGAAGGCAACTCCACCAGGCCTCTGCACATGCTAGGCATCCGATTGATTGAAAGTTAGGCAGAGCAACGAAGTTCGATCGACACCGAATTGGAGGACTGGGACAGGATCGGAATAAGGTACACTGAGACTTCGTAACGTTCCGGACCCTAATAAAAAAAATATAAAGAAACACGTTAGCACGCTTACTAAAGCAAACCAGGCTACTTCGACCCCTTGGTGCCCGACAAGGCTCGTTTCGAAATCACAACCTTCAGGTATGTGGCCATTGTAATGCCAGCCTTTCAATTGCAGTGCTAAAAGTACTCCTTTCAAATGCAGCATGAGCACACCGATTGGGATGGCAAACACTGTCGTTTCGGCATTCCTCTTACCCTCAACTTTTAAATTTCTCCTTCACACAGGGCAGATTGTTTCAAGCGCAGTTCTTCACTAAAAGTATTTTCTACCCAAGTGTAAGTCCCATCTTTCAAAGATAGCCCCATGTATTCCAATGCAGACGCCATACAGCTGTTCCAGAACTCAAATGTAGTTGCCTCGTAAATTAAACTGTCCCATATAGCATTCCTCTGCCCAATTCAGACAGACTCCAGTATGGTCCCCGCTTGATCGGACTTCCGACAAAGTAGGCTTGTAAATTAAACTTTCCCATTGCCTACGGCCTTTCTCTTTCTAATGCAGACGCAACCCAGTATGATCGGAATTCCAACGAAGTTGCCCTACAAGCTAGTGTCCCATCACCCAAGGCCAAAGTCTGCCAACACGGGCGCAACCCAGTACGGTCCCAAAACAATCCCGATGCAGACGGACTTGCCCCGTAAATCGACGTGGCCCATCGCCTTGCTGCGCCGGACGCGAACCGCCTCGTGCTACGCAACGGCAAGCGTTACGGAAACGTCCACACCTTGGTGACCTTCATCGCGAATACCCGACTCTGAGGCTCTTGCCGTTTGTTTACACCGATTCGAAAAATGCCATCAAATAACGAGACTCCCCTGCAACCTAAGGCACAAATTTCCCTTTAATCTTTAGGATTACAGAGGACGAAAACCGCGGTCCCGATACTTTTCCTGCTCCTTCGGGCTAAAATGAGCGACGGACTGACTCTTTCTTTATTTCCCCGCCGAAAGAAATACCGTTTCTGTAAAACCAACTGCTGCTTCGTCTCAACTTCTTTTTGTTTTCTCTCCTGTCTGCACGCCTTTTTTTTTGCTGCTGCTGCTCCAAATCTTTTTCACACGTGGACCTGCTTTACTGGGAGGTAGATAATGTGCATTTCAGAGGCACAGAGGATGTATGTATACATATATATATATATTTATATATCGCGAGCGTGTGTGTGTGTGTATGTGTGAATGTCTGCATGTCTGTCTAGTGTGAGTGTGTACATATAAAAGCCGGAAAAACGGTCTCGCGAGTTAACGAAGAAACGAGTAGAACAAACGAGGAAATCGGACTAAAAAACCACACCGGGATTGGCCAAGCAAAAACACAACATTGCACTCCACGCCTTTTTTTTTTCCTCCTGCGACCTCCATACGCTGGACGGTATGCTACACGGTAAAAGCCTTCACTCCTTTCTCGAAACCTGAGGCTTTTTCTTCTTCTCTCCCGCCTTCCCCCGCGAGAGAACTTGCCTGAATAGGCATGTCGGATAGACAAGAGTCGGTCCTACATCGGTCCTACGCCGGTCCAGTCGCCGGCGTAGGCCGTTCCTATGCACACTTTTCAAACTCCAAAGGCAACACCAGCTCTGAACCGCGGAAGAGGCCCACGAGAGGACATCTCGCAAACTAAAACTGGGCAGGGAAAGGGCCGCCATACGAGAATGAGTGACGACTTCTCCGGCCGTCTGCCAGTACTTCGGTTCTCGCACGGCAGAGTCGTACCCGCGGCAAGTTAACTGTCCGATTCGACGGATATCCAATCCAAATATGTGAACGCTGCTCACGACCTTGCCCAGAGGAGACGGCAATATTGAAGAGTTCCATGCTACACCCGTTTAGCTCAAAATAAATTTTCTTTCAAAACTCGGCCAGAGTAGACTCGGGAGAAATTGACGAACGCCTCGAAATGCAAAACCTAAAAAAAGATATTCCAGGTATCATGCTTACAATTTTTTTTCTTACTTCCATTACAGTGCCAGTTTGTCCGCCAATCGAAATAACATCAACAAAATGTATGACAGCTTCACGGAAGAAAATTCAAGATGGAAACAATAAAAACAAACGGACAACGGTCGTCCAAGCATAGCGGGGGCTGTATTGAACGATGAAGCTAAAAGAGCTAGGACATAAAACACCAAACAATGGCCAGACTTTGAAACTCGCTACAGCGTAACGTTGGCAGTATATGCATTCTTTTGAAACCCACTCAAAAATCCGAAGCCTTTTTTATCTGTTCCGAGAATTCCGCACTAAAAGCTTCCCGCCGTGGACTCTGGTTGATCGAACGCGGAAGCTACTCAGCAGGTGCCCAAAACACTTTTCTTTTTTTCCCCTTTAAAGAAACGTTGCTGGTTGTTTCATCGTTCTGTCAGGTACTGTTGTTGCCTTTGGCACGAGTGTGACCGCATTATATAAAACGTTGGATCGATGTGCACTGATTTGTGATTACAAACAAAATAAAAACAAGACAAATGGTAGCACACATCACCTAGGCCATGTGTCAATTACAAAAGACGGAACAAAAAAAAAAGTGCCTCGCGAAATGTGGGTTGCGTTTAAATACAAAGGTATCTAAACACACCTGTGCACATACGCACTCGCGGTATGTCAAACAAAGATGCATGCATGCCAAACAAAACATAATAAAACACAATTAAAAAAAAGGAAGAACCCCCAAAAGATTCTGTCACCGGTAAGCAAGCTAGCAGAAGAAAACTTTTCACGAAACGAAAGCCGCCACAGCACACTATAGCACAGACACGGACGCTGCAGTGTAGATATACTATATGTATATATATATATATATATTTATATATATATATGTTTTGTGTGAATCGGCAGAGGTAGTAGAGAAAGTCACCCAACCGGAAACAACCCCCCCTCGGAAAAAATCCCCACGCCAGAAAACGTGCAGACTCGAACCCCCACCCCCCCGTGACACAGAGGCACCTAAAGTTTGAGCCGCTGCCGTAAGCGCTTCGACGAGAAAAATGTGACGGCAACGCTAGGTCTATCTTGGACGCAACGGTAGCCACGGTCGCACACAAAGGTCGCGAAAGTGTCGTCTGCTAAGCACTCTACTACTCACTCCGGACAGACAACTGCACCCACGGGCGTTTTAAGAAACGAACGAGTACCGACAAGAAAGACACGACAGTTCCAAAGTTACGAGCACGGCGTCGTCGAAAAGTCGGCCATACGACGACACCGGTCACACAGTACGCACCGTGCTCGGCCAGAGACTGCAAATGCTCGTCACGTGGGGGCACGCGCAATGTCTGGAGGGGTCAGCATTTAGGAAACTTTCACACCCGGCATTTTGTTACGAGGACGAGCCTCTCTTGAAAACATGGAGCATTCTCTCGGGGAGAAAACAAACTCTCGAGATTTATGTGACATAGGAACTGTTGCATTGTACCCAGGGGGAGGCGGTACAACGTCCTCGGCAGAGACAAACGTAACGGCGTTTTCCCCCTGTCTCGCCTCAACTAAAATTTAAAAAAAAAAGGAAGTCGCGACGCGCGACTTTTGTGTCATTGCCCAAAAATAAGATGGTAAAAGATTAAAAGAAATATATACCTGAGGCACCTTTCACGGCACACACCCGTCAACTAAAAGATGGGAAAGCGAACGCCAGTTGTGAGAGGTCGCGGCCAACGTAGAACGAGCGGACAACACGTGCAACGCCGCTCCAACCCAAAAGGCTAAGAAACGACCAATGAAAACCATCTTCGGGACTAACCTCTACGACAGCGCTCGCTAAAGTCTCCCTGAAACGCAAGGTGCGCCATGCGCCAAAATGAATCCTTAATGACCGAGGGCCTGCAACGAAGCGCCGGGCGCAAAACGACACGCCCTAACGAGCCATCTTGCACTCGGACAAACTCTAGGTGCTCGCGATGCAGAAACCGGGTCACCATTCTTACACGCTCTGTCGAGCGGAGTCACGTCGTGAGAAGCGTAAAAGAAAGCTCGAGGGGAGGGGCGACGGGAAGTTGGCGAGGGGTCTATCACACAAAACGTTTAAGAAGGAAATCCGGTTATTGCGACGGAACCGCCAGACGACGCAGACGAGGGTGCACGCCGTCCGACGAAGGAGGGAAAAAGGTTATCGACTTAATGGAGAGCGTTAACGGCATGAAGTAGGAACTTTGAGGAAAGAAAGCGTGCGACAGAGACACGAGAGGGGGCGGCCCCTCGATGAGAGAGCCGCACAAGAGTAACAGCGTCGCTGGCACGGCAGCTGTCGCCACCGATTCGTTAGCCGCGTCTTTAGCTCGGAGCAGACGGCAACAGGGTATGGCGGCGAAGCGTATCATTGCGCAGACTCGAGAGCAAGCCGAAAGCGGTTCCCAAAAGCGCATCTGTACATCGAACCCTCTGCCAACCGAAGAAATAAAAGGTTTTGTGCGAGGAAAGGACAATCGTCGCCCATGTACGGAGCGCGAGAGGCAAAACAAAATACGAAAAGCGGCTGCAAAACGTGACTTTTCCGCCAAAGAAACGAGCGCAGTTGGAAAAAAGTAGAAGTACACCCAAGGACACTTGAGGTTACTAAAGGCAACAAGCATAAATAAAGGATCTAGAAAACAAAAGAAAATCATACACAAACAAGTATGATATTATGCTCGCTCTCGACCGCATGCCTACACTCAAAAAACTCGGAACAGGTTACACACTTTGGGCGCCAAAAACGGGCGCGAGTCTTTCTCGTCATTTTAGCACCAACAAAAACCGTACACAGTACTCAGCACAAACGTGATGATTGTGATCAACTCTTACGCAAGTGTGGACGAAATCGGCACGAGGTCGCAGCGAGGTTGCGGCACACAAAAACGACGTCACGACAATGCCACCGCGACGCAAGACCGCGATCACACAACGACGTCGTCGCGATGCTCGACGCTGATGTCGCAACGATGTCATTGCGATGTTCGTAGATGATGCCGCACCGACATTGTTGCGATGTTTGCAGCCGCCGCCGCAATGCAGACGCACGACTCCCGACGTCGATCTCTGCTTCCCTCTGCTTTGTCCAACGCTGCTATTGCAGTAAACACCGGCAACTTCCCGCAGAACGGGAGGGTCTTTTTGTCCGACACGAGAGCTCGCACTTCTCGTGGGCCTCAAACATTTGACAGTTCACTTTCGTTGCTCACACCATCTTGCGGAAACATGGGTTCACAGGGAGGGAGGTAGAACAAGTCTTTCTTCAAGTCGGCGAGCAGGCTTGGCGAAAGAAGGGCAGGTGATGATCCGATGACAATGTGGCGGCATTTTGTATCTTAAAAAACAAATAGACGGCAATGCCTTGGTTGCTGCAATGTGGTTCAACCACTCTGTTAGTGGGGACCGCACTTGCAACTGAGGTAGGTCGCGTAGAAATTAAAAGAAAAAAATAAAATACACGGTATTGGAACAAAGTACATTCAATGTGGCAGAAGGTCTTACAAAAATATGGCGCACCCTTCTTTCCATTTCGCCGAGAACATTGGGAGAAAGAAAGCTGCGTCCTTTCTTAAGTTTGTTTCCTGCGTCCAAGACGCAGCTTTCTTTTTCTCTTTTTTTCTTAAATACAACAGGTACGTTTGTTTTCTCAGTTTTTCGGAAATCAGGCAAACGTGGGTTGTGATGGGCAACTAGGTCCTGAAAACAAATAGAAACGTCTTACGTTTGCTGCGGCAATAAAAAGAAAAGAAGAGAAATTCGAGAGAAGGTTTTGTAGTGTGAGAAAGCCGGCCACAGATAGCTTGCAAAACAAAACACTACACCCGTTTTTTTTTTTAAGTGCGGAAAGATACATAAACACGCATTCCAAAGGATGTCAGTGAAATTTTCAGGACAGCAACAAAACATAGGACAAGACCTCACAAAAATGGCCCCACAGAATTTCAAACTTCAAAACATACAGAGAGGTAAACACTGAATTGAGGCTTCTTTTCTTGGAAAATCATCTCAAAGAAAACACTGTTGCGAAGGAACACAACATAACAACACAGGCTCTATATAATAGGCTCTGGAAAATAAAATTTCTACGACTACTGCGGCTCATAGCGCACTCCAACACCGGGTTTGTAAAGGCGAAGTTAAAAGCCTCATAGCATCAATCTCACCCAGCACCGAAAAGAAAAAAAGAAAAAAAAGTTCATCAAAGCGGGAAAGATGGAGAGAAAATCTACACAAACTATTTTTCTAGATCACGCGGGATAAAGAAAGCCAAGCTTTTCAGGCCGACCTTATTGCAACGAAACAATGACTGGATTAAGTTGGAGAGGTACAAACAGGAAACAACATTATCTGCCTAAAGAAGTACTCTAGTGAGCGTTCAAAGATATATGTTACTACTTTTGTACTAAGAGAGGTTCCGATCATCTCGGACGTGGCCGCGGGCTTTTCTTTCCCCAACAATAATGCGAACAAAAGGCCCGTACGTGCGAGCGACGCACTCGTAAAAAGACGCAATCGACACCCGAGCAGACCTAATCCCAAGCGGTGACGCGACACAATGAAAGCTTAGCGCGTGGCAGCGTAACCGCGCACGCTTCGACGGGACGCCCATTTGTAGAGTACCCGTGTGGTACGTCCGGGCGTGCGCGGGAACCGAGCCCCCGTGTAACGAACCTACGCCCAAAAGAATGCTGTCCAACGAATCCGGCTGCACCCAATCCCTCAAGTTGCCACACTCCCGTTCTTCTTCCAAAAAAAAAAAAAGACGAAAAAAGCAATAAAATGGTTTTTCTAGACCCGTCTGGTAAATATCTTTGTGGCAAATGCGACTCTTGCCCCCGCCCCGAGCTTTTCCTGACTTTTGACATTTGCCCCATTCTTTCAACCATGCCCGACGGTGAAGTATAGCACGGCCGAGTTGGGAGCGGCGAGGGATGCTCTCTCCGCTCCGCCACTCGTTGCCCGCCGATGGCTTCCGCTCCCTCGCTTGCACCTATCCCTCTTCATCTTGATCCATCTGCGTGACGCCCTGTGGAACAGGCACCCTGCAATGAAAACCGCCGCGGCATGACCACTTGTTGGCAACTCTCGGTTAGTGGCGTTCATCTCCCGACGAGATAACACACCCCATGTATGGTGGCTAGAGAGTTGGGTGTGTCGAGCGGTGGCCGGCGCGCGACACCGAAAGGGAGATCTGTCGCCACGAGGCGCCTCGGAAGGCCTGTATGTTATCCGATCGCGGCGTTTTGGCTACGCTAGGGCCGAAATGCGCTGCGTGCGGACTTTTTGCCGACCACTTGTCGGCTGTGTTTTTTTACAGAATTGGCGTGGCATAATGAAAGTCTGAGAAACTTGGATTCGATAGTCGACCCGACTTTGGAGCGTCGACGAAAGTAAATGTGCACTTGAAGTCGTTCTATTCTCACCGCAATGTTCTTGTTCGCAAGTTAAGTAACGGAAGCGTCGATTCCAAGGTAATATGGTAAAATGGGGAATTTTTTTTTTTTATTTTCTCTCGTGTACTACGTTTTCGAAACACGTGAAACGTCCACCAAGGTATCAGCAGCCGTGACGAAATTTCGCGTTTCAAGCCACTGTGTCACGTATGTCGAAATGAATCGACGCTAAACCGCGCAAGCGCTTTAACATTAAAATACCTATGTCTGAGGAAACTGGACACTTCTGGTGCGATTCCCCTCTGATTCAAGACCGGACATGGCTGGCGAGAAACAACGCGAAAAGTTGTCATGACACAAAGCATCCCAAGCGAAAATCAGTCCACTTCCTGCTGAATTATGGAACTTGAAATGAGGTAGTCCAGCTTTTTATTTTTATTCAACGTGGAAAATTAGCAATGAAATACAAAATTGTTTTTAAAAGAGAGTGAGCAAAGTAACATATTATATATGTTACATGAACCATTCCTGAACAAAATATTCAGGAATAGGCAATGTAATTGTTGTAACTTTGGCAATTAAAAGTTCTCGAGAAAAAACAATTAAACATTACTTTTGTGCTAACCCCCATAAAATGGCTTATGGCACATGATCTTCCACATGGTAACAAGTATATCTTTCTTGCTTGTACCGTCTTTTCCACACTATAATCGCAACACTACTGAACGTTCTAAGGCTGTCCTGGGTACTCTCGGCTGCATGTGTGAACAGGTTTTCAAGGCTGCGTCTAGAGCAAACCTAAGGGTACCCCGAAACCAGTAGTGATCGTATTTGTCTTCAATAAGTCAAGACATATTTTCGATTGATAAAAAAAGATTGTGCCTCCTCACCAGATGAGTGCAGTTTGATTGTCGGGATCACACTGTTTTAGGCAGGACAAAGGTATAGGAACACAGGATAGAAGTACAGCGAGGATCTTTACAGCCGTTGACACGACCCACAAGCACTCCGAGAATGAACATACCCTATCATGGTACCATGAAAAGGCATATCTTGCAGTCAGCGTTCTGTTTTGAAGTCTATCAGGACAAGTATGACAGTAACGCAAACAATTTTTAGGTACCGTCGCATTTTGGTAACTTAAATTCAAACGAGTTATAACAGAACACAAAGGACAGAAACAGCCCGAGTCTGCGGAAGCATATTTTAGCCTAGCTGAATATAACCTCTTGAATACCTAGGCACACCGAACAGTCCAATGATGACACCTCCGCTAGATTTTTATGTCGTTGCAAAGAAACTGCCATCAACAAAAGTGGACACCATTGTGACATTGCGACGCAAATTTTGATGGAGAGTCCACGGTATAAAGAACATTAAACTCTGTGCGAAAGGCCAGCTTCATACAGTCGTGTTGCTACGTGCATGCAACCAGCTCAAAGGGATGCTGAACCGAAATTCGGATTTCAAAAAATAAGGCCGCAGACAGCGTTGGGTAAAGTACATCTAAAAGGTACTTCAAGTAAAGTATGAAGTAAATGAGACGTTATAACGTCTCATTTACTTATTAGTGTACTTAATAATTTGCTTATAAGTAAATTATTAAGTACACTGGGAGCAACATACTCGAAGTAAAGTACTATAAATACAATGTACTTTCAAAGTACAAGTTTTTTTAATACAATCTTTCATGATGCCCTTTCATTCCCCTATACGGTGATTTTTTTTAATTGGTATGCATTGCCCAGGGGTAATCAAGGGGGCATGACCTCAAAAACAGCGGCAAATATTTGATAAAGTCAAGTGGCTACAGAGTAGTTTTTTTCAGGAATGGAGCCATATTCAGAAGACCCTCTTCTGAAGTTGGTGCCCCTTGCACTGGATTGTTGCACTCAAGGGGGCTAAATGAACTAGGAATGTCTTTTCCTTAATGAAAAAAAAAATGAGTGTGCAAGCGAGCTGGTGATAATTAATTATAATGTGACACCTGCGATTGGGGTGCGAAAAAAATTAAAGAACTTTCAAATAGAAGGAAGAGACAAAAGAGAATGTTTCAAAGCAACGTTCTCCTCTGTTGTCTTATACTTCGACCTGAAAGTTTAGTTTTTTCGCACCAAAGACTTAGGTGATACATTATGATTAATTTTTCTCTCCTAATATTTTAGACCTCCTCGCTTGAGCTGACCGACCGAGAAGTAGCAAGAGTTACAAAAGCTATGGGAAAGCCGCTCCCAGTACAAACGGGGCGATGCGTCGTCTGCTCACGTTTCTGGTGAGAGTAGAATATCCCTCCCAGTATTTCTTTGGAGTTGACAAGGCATCATTTCGTGATACAAATTTAACAAAAACCAAATTTAGGAAATGTAGGTACTTTGAAGTCGGGAATTGTACTTTCCTCGGAAAGTAGCAGAAAAGAATACTTAAGTACAAGTACATACTCAGAGAATGTACTTCAAGTAAAATAAAGTTTCCTAAACCTAATTTCAGTAGTACTTTAAGCACAATGTACTTAAAGTACTTCCCAACACTGGCCGCAGGCGTGTTCAGCAGGACGCTACGAACCCCAAAACACCATTCAAACCGCGATATCTCGGACGGATCGAGCGATACTTTAGAGAAGTATCGATCGATGTAGCGCTCGTCGAAGTGAAGTGCGCACACTACGGAGTTTTCCTGAAGATGCATGTCTTGCCTCGGAATATTTCTATCCCAGTGAGAGAAGAGGACTGGGTCCTTCAAGACGGCGAACAATATTTTCTTTTGCAGACCTGTAGCCTGTCGTGCATCCTGGAACAAAGCAGTGCTATCGCTCGCTGCTTTTTTTTTTTTTTGCCGGAGGTTGACAGGACAACGTTTATAGTCTCCACGTGTCACTTGACGGACGGGCATGCAGGAACGCTTGAAATAAACTCACACGAGCGCTGAAGAACAGATGAAAGCGGGCGTGAACTCGTCGCTACCCGCCTTGCCGCACGGAAATCCCTGCGCCAGCTGCACGCGCCTAGCATACACGCTGAGCAGAGCGCCCCTAACGGTGATTTTCCAAACCGGCCGCATTGATGCACAAGAGAGCCGGCGCGCTCGACACGTTCAACTCTCTCTAGCCACCCTACCCCATGTAACAAATCCTCTGTTGAACAACAGCCTGCGAAAAATCTGTAAACTTTCCACATGAAAAATCTGGTCCCCACACGTGACAATCATTCTCCAAAGCAGCGCGTTGCAGCGTTTGAAAGGATGCCATTTCCACTAGACATACTTTGCAGCATGAGGTTTGCGAACATTAAAAACTTTTATTAATTTGCGAATAGTGTTTGCTATTTGATTCAATTTGCAGCATACTTTTACCGTACAAAATATTTGAGTTTTTCTGATATTCACAAATTAGGAATAACGTTTTAAAAATTCCGCAGTTTCTTGCAGTGGGCCAACCCCAGAGGCAATGCAATACTGGGCCGACCTGCGAAAAAAGTGAAGCAAGCGTCGAGCACTTGGCAGCATTCCAAGTCCGAAAAATATCTTGGGTCCAAGTAGGACTAGTATCAGGTAACAAGCCAAGAAGAGAATTTAGACCATTTCAAATAAATAAGGTACCGCAAAATCCCGTAAGGGCGCCTTCCCCCGTGAGATCGCTTGTCCCGTTTTTTTGGCTAAATACCGTATATTGCCGCGTATACATTTTTTTGGCTAAATACCGTATATTGCCACGTATAAGACCTTTTTTTCGAGAAATCGGTGTCTCAAATTAGGGGGTTCGACCTATACGCGGATTCGACCGACCTACATGCGGGTTTACACGCATTCTGAGCCGGATGAAGGGTTCTAGGGACTTTTCCCCACATAAAGACCTAGTTTTGTATTTGTAGTCTAAGACAACGTCTGGGTGACTTTATTTTGGAACTTAAAACATATTTTTAAATCTAGTGATATGTTTAAACAACAGAGAAATATTATACTGGCATGAAAAAGCGCTCATCACTGCCCGAGAAACCGAATCGAGAACTTCGTAGGAAAAATGTGCGATTTTGTCCCTGGGTGCGTCGAAAAGAAACGCGCACACCGTCGTTCCCATCTTTTCTTTCTTCGCTCGTTCCGAAGTCTGCGTCAGTCATGAAAATGCCAGCGCAAGCTTGCCGCCAGTACAACGAGTTGCGTTGTTCAAACGCAAAGTCATCCTCTTCGCTGAAGAGGAAAACAATGTAGCAGCTGAGCGGCACTTCGGCGTCTCCAAGAAGTGTGTTAGAGGATGGCAGCGGCAACGCGATCAAATCTTCACATGCGCAAGTACGCGATGCTCCTTTCGTGGGCCCAAACAGGGACAGTATCCTGCCGTCGAAGAGGCTGTCCGAAAGTGGGTTCTTGACCAACGGAGCAAAAGCCTCAGTGTTTCGTACAAAGATATTGAGTGCAAGGCACGTGCAGTCGCTACGAAACTGAACATCGCTCGCAGCAAGTGATATCAAACAAGTGGGTGATAAACTTCATGAAGCGCAACGGGCTAAGCTTGAGAAGGCAAACGACTGTGTGCCAGAAGCTGGCGGACGCCTACGACGAAAAGCTGCAGGAGTTCCATCGCTACGTTGATGACCTCCAAACGCGGAACAGCTTCATGCTCGGCCAGATCGGCAACGCCGATCAGACGCCGGTTTGGTTCGACGTGCCGAGCAGAAGAACCGTCGCCGAAAAGGGTTGTCACCAGGTGAATTTGCTAACGACAGGAAACGAACACAATCGATTTACCGCGATGTTGTGCTGCACGGCCGATGGCCACAAGCTGCCCCCGTACCTGGTGTTTAAGCGGAAAACGATGCCGAAAAACGAACAGTTTCCGCTGAAGGTGATCGTTTGCGTCAACAAGAAGGGTTATTTCAATGAGGAGACTGTCTTGGAGTGGTTTTGGCTCGTCTCGTGTAGGCGTCCAGGTGCCATCTTAAAGCCCCGGAGCATGCTTGTCCTGGATTCCTTCCGTGGACACATCACGGATCGTGTCAAGAAGACGATCGCCAACGAAGGATGCAACCTGGTCATCATCCCGGGGGGGATGACATCCATCGTTCAACCCCTTGACATTGTTCTTAATAAGCCCTTCAAGGACCGCGTCGGGACCTTCTACGAGTGGATGGCCCAGGAGGACAACCCCAAGACGCCGACAGGTCGTGTGAAGCGTGCATCGTTGAGCACTGTGGCCCAGTGGGTGAACGATGCCTGGTATGGGCTGCCTGCGGACATGGTCCGTGCAGCGTTCTCCAAGTGCGGGATTTTGACGCCACTTCCCGTGTCCGGCCCCTCTGACCCACAAGGCAGCGACAGCAGTGACTGCGTCATCGTGAGGAGCGACGACGAGTGAGACACGAGCCCATTGGGAGACCTCACCTACCTCTATGTGAATAAATGTGATACTCATGCGACTCAACTTGCATCTTTAAAAAAAAAAAAATCTTTTCTTTGGTTGGCGGTTGTTCAACATTAGGGGGTTGACTTATATTCGGATCATCTTATACGCGGCAATATACGGTATCTAAAACATAAAAATTCCGAAATATCGCCCAACCCCTATTCCCGTCGGACATTACGTGATGTACGACGGGAATCACATGAATCGCGTGATCTGCGGTATTGGTACGTCAGACAAGAGAGTTTCTAGCGGGTTCACACATTTTTGTTTGTGATCTGCGCATGCAATATTGGTTCCTGTGACATCCAAGTTGATCCCACCTGTCTATCGCATCGTGAAATGCGAGTCTGCTGCGTCCATGATCTGCGGTATTTGTTCCTGTGGCATGCGCGTTCGTAGTAGGTGCCGGTGTTTTTTGTTCGCAATCTGTGCGTGCGATATAGATTCCCGTGACCTACGAGTTGTCCCGAATGTCTATTGCACCGTGAAATGCAAATCTGCTGCATCCGCGGCGTCGGTTCCCATAACATGCAAGTTCGCAGCAGATTTCCGTGTGACTTTTGCACCGTGCATCGTGTTTGCGCGATTCTGATGCACACTTTCTTTCGCCATAATCAGTGCTCAAAACGACGTGCACATTACAATCGAAACGAAAAACCGAAACTAACGAAAAATGCAATACGCGGTATAAGGTGGCTGGCCCCAACGCCATCGGGACTGTTAGTTTACATTTGCCATTTTGGTATTCATATCACGTGCGTTCTCTCGCGTCTGAAGACTCGTGCCCGCTGTTTTAAGATCGAAAAAAAAAAAATTCCACTGGGAGGCTTTATTTAAACGAAAGGCCGTTCCAGCTGGTGGGAAAAGATAACAACGAAGCAGCACTGCGTGGCCTCACAAACCCAGCGATTCGACGAGCTTGCAAAAATGTTTGGAAGACGACCTTCCCAGAGGCGACGGTTGCACACTCGTACAAGCGCAAGAAGCGCGGCACCTAAAATGTTTTAGATGAAACCAGGGATCACCTCCGTGGACAGCGAAGAGCCATCGTCGGACTCCGACAGTGGCGGCTAGTGCACGGCCTTCATTTTAGGGGCGAAGCTCCTTAGGGTCTAGCCTTGTCGGCGTCTGTGCTCACATCGATTGCCATCCCATCTGTCTTCTTAAAAAAAAAAAAAAAATGTTTGCGCAATCGACAGGATTTGAACCTGTGCGGGGAGACCCCAATGGATTTCTAGTCCAACGCCTTAACCACTCGGCCACGACTGCAGGACGAGTAGGGGGCTCTGAGATGTGGTAGTAACTCAAGAGCTGGGGTTTCTGTCATGGATGAAACGTTGCATGTAGCCGCTCAACGTCTATACAGGAGAGGGCGCTGCGGTCAAATGCGTATATAATTGCGTTAAACTTTGCATGCATTGGCTCAACGTTTATAGATGAGAGGGCGCTGCGGTCAAATGCTCAAATGCGTATATAACCACGTTCCATACAACACATTCTTTTTCTGACATGGATGATAACAAACGAAAAGCTCGGCCTGCTGCGGCTCAGCGTCTACGCAGACAGCAAGCTGCTCCGGAGACCAGGGCGCGAGAAGCTGCTGCAAAGCATGAAAAACGCCAAGCGGACCCGGAGTTGAGAGCTTGCACCACCAGAGCTTCGTCCCAATCAACATCATTCACCACGTGGAGATGCGGTCATTTTTTTGTGTTGGCATTCGTTTCACAAAATCCATTCAATTAGGTATGTGTTTAATCTTCATTATTTCTACCTGTGCGGTAGAATCGGCCTTAACTTACTTTTTGAATATCTGAAGCTAAATCTGCCTGCGAGTTAGAATCAAGCAACACGGTAAAGCGAATCTGCTGCGTCCGCAACCCCTTATACCATGACACAGGATGTCGTAGCAAATTTCCGCGTGTTCATTGCAACATAAAACGCGAATTTACAGTGTCCAAATCCACAGTATCAGTTCCCGTTTTATTGGTTTGAAGTGGATAGCCCGGTGTCTTATCGCCTTTTATTTTATAAAGTTTTTCTGTCGCATCCCAAAAGATAGCTCACCCCATGTTTATCCCAATTCATCCCTTCATTTTGGGTGGGCGTCCTTACGGGATTTTACGGTAGTAATTTTTTGCTTGCAACTTGAAATCATAGCGTCATGTGATGACACAGTCACACGAGGTTATGGTGTCATGTCGTCACGCGAGGCCACGGCGTCATATATCGAGGCTACACTCCAGGCACAGATATGAGAGGGCTAAGAGCTGTAGTAAGGTGGTAAGCTGGGCGAGTTGTCTTGTCTTCTGTGTTTTGTTCCTGTCCTTGTCCTCGTCTTTTTGTGCGCTAATTTTTCATCATGTTCAGCTCAGAGCTGACCCTACCAATGCCACGCATCTAAAAAAATTCAGTTTGTTGTAAACGGGTTCAGGCCGCAGAACCTTGGTGGCCGTCAACTCACACTCCGGCTTCCTGCTTGATGGTAGTCTTGTCGGCGGTGAAGTCTGTGGGCTCCGAGTCATGCCCGTAGGAGGGCAGGGAGCGGGAGTCCTCCTCCTGCGAGGTGTCCGTGTCTCCCTGGTCGCTGTCCCCCTCGGGGCCCCCAGAGTCCCCCTGGTCGCTGCCCCCTCCCCGGGGCAGGGCCTCCTGCTGCGAGAAGCCCAGCAGGCGGGCCTTCAGGGACATGTGCCCCGTGCCACATGCCAGTCAGTCACATGCCTACTCGTCGTCCACGCAAACACATCCAGCAACATGCACGAGTCTACGTTCGACAACACGTGCACCATACTCTTTACTAGGGGGAATACATCTCGAACCCTAGAGGTTTTGGATGGCTGGAACGGCTGGATGCACCGCAGCCTCGGGGTTCTCCCCTTTGAACTGGAACGAGTGGCTGATGCTAAAGCACTGCACGGGCCGGAATTGCCTGGCCCGGCCCGACTCGGTCCGGTAGAGGCCCGGCCCGGGCCCGGCCCAAGCTCGACAGAATATTTAATTTCTAGGCCCGGTCTGACCCAGCCCGAAAGAGACACTGCCCGGACCTGGCCGAGGCCCGGCAGAATTTTTCGACAGAAGCTTGAGTCCAGCCCGAACCTGACAGATTACATATATGAGCCCAAAAAAGTTTGAAGGCTTTAACCTAAAAACTTTCTAAGCATAAACCGAGAATATTCGATGTAAATTTATTTTAAACTTGAACAGAGTTTTTTTCTGACACGATAAATATCGACATCTTGTAAACCCTGAGATGGGGAACAATAAGAAAAATGGACGGACACAACAAAATCTGAGTTTACAAGATGTTGATTAATTACCAGCTCGCCTGCACTCTATCACTGCTTACGATAAATATCCCAACTTCAACAATGTATTTGCGAGAGTATTGGTAAATATGCACTTCATAAGTGATTTTGAGAAAAAAAAAAGTGGCAATATTTTATTTATTTACTGTACGCATTTCCTGAAGAGATATTGGACTTTTCGTTGTTCAATTCGTTTCACAGAGAATTTTCCTCTCTACATGTCTTTTGGGAAGAATCAATCACAATCATGCTAGTGCATCTTCAAAAGGCTGTATGAGCATAAAATTACCTATGGTAGCTAGCTAGTAAGGCCCCCTCCACAAAGTGCAAAATCAAGCTTACATTTTTTTTTAGTTTGTAAAGTAAGACACTCATTATGTACCCTGCGACTGGAGTGCCCTCGTTTCCTTGGCCGCACATTCCCACTACACTGGTGGAATCATATAAGTTTCCTTTTATGCACGTAAAAGCTTTCCAAATGTAAGACGTCGTTTTTATTTTTTTATTTTTTTTAATGGCGTTGTAATGATGTGGCATTTTGCTTGTTTATTTTCATTGAACCTACGCAATCAATGAGCACACATTTTGTTATCAACAATCTAGAATTTGTGGCACATGACTGCCCAGCCACGGCCCGAAAATGTTTTTGTTCAAGCCCGAGCCCGGCCAAGGCTTGAGGAAATGCATGCTACCCGGCCCAGGCCCAACCCACGAACCGGACCAGGCTCAAGGTTTTGGGCTGGCCCGGGCCCAGGCAGCACTCTAGCTGCTGCCATCTACCATCGTGAGTGCCATGAGAATGAACCTGGTACCTCTTCACGTCGAGGGCAGCGCTCTTCCTATATTCTGTGCGCCAACGTGGTTAACAGGACGGCGTGATGCGCATTGTCCTCTAGGACACAAAGTGCCCACACCACTAAAGGAGGATTTGGCGAAGTAAGGTCACTGTCTGCAATGCACATAGCAGAGTAGAATGCATTTCCCGAGCAAAGTATTTGAGTGCACTTTGCACTTGCCTTCTCTCTCATCTTCTCCCTCTTTTGCAACTCCTCTCCTAAGTTTGATTCCCTCTTCTGTTTCTCACAAAGAGTATGGGGAGCGGAGGGAACAAGAATCTTCCGATTTGCTAAAGACAGCATATGTATGTCGGCCTACAAAGCCAGTCTTTCTTTATTTTTTCTTAAATAGTGTTAGCCATAGTTTGGCAAGGTAAAGAACTGTTCTGTGGTCACTTCGGTTACTCTAGGCGTCGTCTTTCGCATTCCCAAGCTCTCCTTCTCCCAATTTCTCTAATCAAGGTGCTTTCTCAAGAATTTCTTGTTGGTAGAAGTTAATCCATTGTTCTGCCCTTTCAAGATATTCGCAGAGATACCACGATGTAGAAATCACATTTACTTAATAGACAATCGGCTCTACGACAAAGCTTTCCACTTAAGCCTACCTCACATAAAAAAGGCATAACTAGGCTCTAATAGTACTCAATGTCTAAGGAAATTAGGGTGACAAACACATCGTGGACCCAACTGCAAACTGCTGTTCCCCATCAGTCCTCAATAGCATTTTGACGGTAAAGTCCGACATGCGTGCCAATGCGAAGTGGTGAAACTTGATGTGAGTCCCAATGCAAAGTGTCAAAGTTTAACAAGCGTGCCGATGCAAGGCAGTAAACGGACCCCTATCCAAATTCCAAGTCCGGAACATGCCTCAACCGCTCAGTAAAATATTGCAACATGCATACAAAACACAGACGGAGTGAAGTTGTAGGAAGAACTTAAAGGAACCTCCTGAATGACCCGGAGTGGCAACCAATGTTCCACCAAGACTTAGCTTATTTTATTACATGCACTGTAATGTAAAAACTAGGTCATGGTACTCAGGTGCAAAGCCAGCCAAGGACTAGGCAGATTCAACTCTAAAACACTGGGACAGCGCGACCAAAGCAGCTGCAGGCTCTCACCTGAACAGATGCCGACACGGCTGCGCAGGAAGGCAGTGCTGCCGCAAGCGCGGCTGCTGAACTCCCGACCTGGGGGTAGAGGCTGGGTGCTCCCCAAAGAGGAGGCCCCACGGGAAACGGGGACTTCTGGTGTGTGCCTCCACCCAAGGGGGCCCCCAGGCTCCCCAGGCCGCTGGCAGACGCCGCCGCCGCCATTGCCGCTGCTGCAACAAGGGCACAAAAGTTGTTCAAAAGGTGCCTGCACCGACGGCTGCATAACGGGACGTTTGGATGATGTCAGGCTGGGTGATGTCAAAGAGTGGTACTGTCATGGCAGGGACGGTGTCAAAGAGTGGTGCTCTCATGGCAAAGATGGTGTCCCAAGGTGGATGATGTCAAAAAAGAGAGGATGGTGTTACCAAGTGTGTGGACACTGCGGTGCCACAATATAAACAGTGTCAGAGTGCAAAAAGAGTGAGGGAAAACGTTGTTACAAAGTGGGTGTTCAGGGAAGGACAAAAAAAATTATGTCACAGCGTGAATGGTGTCAAAGACCGGTACCTTGATGAAGAGGATGGTGTAAAACAATGGGTGTTGTCGGAGCAAGGGTGTCACTAGAAATATTATTATCCTAGAGGGGGAATCTGTTACAAAGCATATGGCGTCACAAAGTCAGTTCTGTAACAAATGAGGGTGAATGGTGCCATGAAGCGATGGTGTCAAACAGTAAGTGATGCAACAGAGGAGTTGCAACAGAAAACGTGGCACCCAAGAGTGGATGGATTCCAAAAGTAGATTGGTTCATTAAGCATGTCAGAGTGGATAGTGCGAGAGCAGATGGCATCACAAGGTGAATGGCATCAAAGAGCGGGCGACTGATTGGCATCATGATGAATGATGAGAAAAAAGCAGATGATGCCACAGTGTCAATTGTACCACACAGCAGGTAATGCCAAAAGAGTGAACAGCGTCACAAAGTGGACGACGATGTCCCAAGGGAGAGAGCAGTCGCTCACCGTGCTGCTGCCTGAGCTGCTTCTTGGCCTCTTTCCTCCGGTTGTTGAACCAGTTGTTCACCACGGGCAGGCTCACCTTCTCACGCTCCGTCAGCGGCCTCTCTGCAAATCGGCCCCCTTCCACCCGTCTCTATGCGTCTCCTTACACGCCACCACACCCACAACGACGCACGCGGCGACGCCAACAGTTTTTTCATTTCACCGACACATGACGCGAGTAGAGGGGCAACTTAATAAACAGCACAAACACTTCAGTTGTACATCAATATACACCCGAGCCAATAGAGTCTGGCTTTTACATATGCCAAGCTGACGTAGCATACCTGACACGCCCCAGTAATAGACTGCAGATTAGTTTCGACCACTGGGGTCCTTCTGGCGACTGAGTTAGCAACAATGTTAACTTGTGACGCCATCTATCGATGGGCACACCAAACAGACAATGCATTTTGTTGTCCACCGGCTTCGCCCGTCGGGAGGTGGCGGCACAAGCAAATAGCGTCGCTAACACGAATGGCTGCGAAACGTGCCAGACATTGACTTTGGCAAGTTTCTTGCTCTCCTTTTATACAGAAAGAAAACTACGCCTCGAAATTTTACACAATGAAATTGATCTGCTCAGAGCACGTTCGGCGAAAGTTAGAACTTTCTACATGCAGGCAGCGATTCTTCTCGGCTGGTCTTACTACGTTTAATCCGCTTCAGCGATCCTACACGGCGAGAAATTGAGGGAGAGGAGGAGACAAGAGTGAGGGGACGCCAGAACACCAAGCCATTGTTGGAGTGATTAGTTGAGGCAAAGCTATAGTTGCGTTAGTCTCTACTCACTCTTTGGATGCGTTCAAATGCTGATGTCCTACATTCAGTGTTTGGTTGCGTTCGAAGAGCGAGTACCATATTTACTTGCATAATGAACACACTTTTCTCTCCAAAAATTGACACATATATGCGGGGGGGGTATTCATTATGCAGGGTAAAATTCTTGCATTTACACACTTTATGCAAATGTCATATTACCGTATAAACCGAAATATAGGTCGAATTTATTTTTAAAAATGGCCCTGAAAAAGTTGACCCTCATCTTATATAATGGTCATCAGCGGAAAAACAAAAATAATCTCACAGCACTAGGTGGCTGAAGCCGCCACCTTGTTTTTTTTTTTTTTTCAATTGCGTAGTACTCGTCCATTTGTCACGACGATCCCGACTGACTTTCACTTGTGCTTTTTGGTTTGTTACATCTACCGTTGCCGCTCCCGGAGTGATAATGAGCGGATGCAGAAGACAGTTCATGGTAACCTTCAAGAAGAAGGCAATCACCTATGCAGAGATTCATGGGAATCTTGCAGCGCAGCGACAGTTTGGTGTATCGGAGAAGGGCATACACTACTGGCGAGGCCAGAGACAAAAACTGATACAGTCAAATCTCGGTACAGCGAAAACCACTTTGACAAACTTTTCAGATTAACAAACTTCTAAAATATCCCATGCCTATGGTTGTAATGCAAAATTATTTCACTACAACATACTTCAGAATAACGAGCACTATATTTAGCTCTGCATCATGTTAACAACACCTCAGTACTACGAACTCAGATTCTGAAGTGCGGGAATTCTAAGGTTTCAGTGAATCTGACACGGCAGCCGGAGCAGCAGGCTAGCAGACGACACGGCGAGCAGACGCCTTGCAAGTTGCAACTCGCTCCGTTGAAAACGCGAAACAGTGCGAGAGGTAACGGAAGATGGACTACTATTTCTTTTTTTTTTGTTGTTGTTGTTGAAACGACGATGGGTTTTACCAGCGCAGACGGCGCAGAGGCGAGGGTTTGGCAAGGGCGAGAGGGAGGCAGAGAGCACGTGCGCGGAAAATCTAAGAAAGTGGGAGAAAAAAAATGCTGCAGGGAACTCTTTTTTTTTTGCTTTTTCTTTCTTTTTTTTTGTGGAGGAAACATGGCGAGAACGTAACCCTTTTTGCATTGATGATTTTCTTTCTTTTTTGATGGTTATTTTACAAAGCACACCAGTCTACGGTGGCACCGCACTGGCTGCGTCGTCGGTGACGCATCGGGTTTATCCTTGTCATCTTTGTTTCTCACTTCTGCGTGTGCTCTCAGCCTTGTCAGATGTGGCTTTTATCGGTGTTTATTGCATCCACAAAGCAAGCCTGCATGCTGCAAAGTTTGTGCTGCACGCATAAAAAACAATCACAGACTACTTTAAATAAATGTGCTTTGTCTGATGTTGACTTGTGTATCTTCGTGAAAAACAAGTTCAAGGACCCACCATTGTAAAGGTAGGACGTTTTAATCATTGGAAAATGAGTAATTATGGTTCATTTCACGGTTTTCGCTATAACGACCTTTCAGAATAAGAAACAATTTTCCGTGGCCCCCCGAAGTTCGTTATACCGAGATTTCACTATAGCGTGGAGCAAGGCGAAGAAAACTTCATTTCGTGGAAGGACTGCAGTGTACCCCGAATGGGAAACAAAGGTGGCAAATTTCATTCAGAATCTGCACGCCAGATCGCTACCTGTGACGTTAGAGAGAATCTGTACGAGAGACGTGGAGGTCGCTCATGCCTCCAAACTCTCAAGGGCGCAACTCAAAGAGACGTCATCGTCCCCTTGAATTGACTTAGGGAACTCGTCGTCCGACGAAGGTTCTAAAGAATTTGAGTAGTAACGCTCGCACACTTCCCATTTGATTGCGTGCGAAGCAATTAAATGAATGTGCCATGTTTTCTTGTCCCTCCGTATGCTTGGCCAAATTTGTTACCAAGGTAAGGTTGCATTTTCTTGCCATAAAAACTTTGTTTCGCTTTTTGCAACTTGTAAATTAGGGTGTCGACCTATATTCCGGTTTGACCTATACATTCCAGTTTATATGGTAGGTGCCAATATGACACGGCAAGGTACTGTGGCACGTCTTCACTGATGGAGGTGCACCCACGGCTGGTCGGGGGCACGTCACAGTAACCATGCTTTATAAATTGCGAACCTTTTTAGGGTGCTTTCGGCGTGTCTTTTGCCAAAAGGAAAGCACCCTACGAGGCTCACTCAGCACGGAAAGCAACGCAACCATTCTTAGGTGATATATATTGCTAGTATTCGGCGGCGCGTTCAGGTGTATACCGCGACTACGCATTTAAGAACTCTTACGAAGTTCAACCGCACATCACTGAGGCCTGCTCGCACGCATCAAATTTCGTTCACGAAGACATCAAGTTTCGCTCACAGAAAGGGCTGTTACCAGGGGCTACCAGACACTCTCAACTTAAAACGCAGAGTGCACCTCGCTGAGCTGTTCTGTTACAGATTAAATAAACACATTTACTAAGAGTATGTGAAATGAAGCCTAACCACTTTCACAATTTCACTGTTCGAAAGCGGACCACAGACGACGGCGTGTTTGTTGGCATCAACGCATCTGATGGGCGAAGAATGTCGAGGGCTGGGCAATTCTTCAGCCCAAACTTCAACCAGTGTGCACACCGCTCAATTTCACGGTTGATCGCTTCCGCAACTACAGCAACTACGCACCTGCAGCCAGGCTTAACTTGGCTTGACTGCGTGGCGGCAAAAAAAACTTGGCTTGGTGGCTACCTAAATGGGACGCAACTCGAGACCAGCGGAGTCGAAAATTGGAGGTGCGTTCATTACGCGAGGGGAAAAAAAGAAATTAAAAATATCGGCACCCGTTGTGGGGGGTGCGTTCATTATGCGAGTGAATACGGTAGATACAAAAGCAGCTGGCTTTGCATCCACTAATCATTCCAACCAGAGCTCGGTGTTCCAACTTCCCCTGCGCGGCCTCGTCTGCTCCTCTCCCTCGATTTTCAGTGTATAGAGGAAATCTCTAGGCTCTGCAACGCGAGCTTTTGCACCCGAGAAAAGGAGCGAGAACGAGCACGAATGTAATGCGATTGAATGCCTCCCAAGCCTACCCGGGCGTTCCACAGCCTCGTTGCACTCCTCCACGATCTGCTCCCTCGTCTGTGCGTCCGGGTAGGGGTCCCGCTCGTAGTAGCGCTCCAGCACAGCCAGGTGGGCCGACTTGAAGGTAAAGCGCTCCCGCTTGAGCGGAATCAGGTCCCCCGTCTCCGACACCATTCGCTTCACTCCAGAGTTGGGACACAGTTGCGCTGCGCCCCAGAGAGCCACACGCACGGCGGACTGGTTAGTGGATCGCCCTACGATCTGCTCCCATATTTGAGAAAAAATTTCAATGTACCTCGATCCTACGGAAGAAGTCGGCAAACACAGAATATGCGACGTATTCATTTACGAGCGTTTCTAAGCTCAAAAGTTGCACTATTTTTTTTTTTTTCCAATATATTTAGCGAGAAAATCCTCGATCGGTGTATTACTATACACCAATTTAATTTTTTTTTACTATATGTAGCAGAGCAGGGCAGCGCTTCCCCCTTAAAGGGGCCCTCCAACAGTATTTGAGCGTCAACTTTTTTTTTGCGGTTTCTACACGCTAGTGGCCCCGGAAACCCAGTGGACAACGAAAGAGTTTGAAAATATTAGCGCATCATATTTTAATTTGACAACTCGGAAACACCTCCTCCAACGGTGGCACCGCGAAGTGCCGAATGCGCGCGCAAAACAACGCTCCCTTTCACTATACGTCACATTCTCTGGGTTTCGTGATTGGCGAGAGCCGTCCCAGGAATTTTGAAGCGAAATAAAGTATATCACACGTTAACCAACATTATTTCTCAAAACAAGTCATTTTTACAGAGCTAATAAAGTTGCAAATTAAAGTTCAAAAAGAGCGAAAACAACGCCTTGTCGCTCATGCGCGCCTCCCAGCGGCGTCCACGACGTACCATCGCGAGCAGACGACAAGTGGTCCGTGCAGACAACGCGCATCATATTTTCACTTGTGCGCCCCCAGTCCCGGTCAACTAAAAGCAGTAAGAGGAGCGAGGGGAACCCTTATTTTCTTTTAGTGCTGTGACAGACTTTTCACTGTTCGAGTGAAGTGTGGCGACGGGACCCAGCTTATATCGTGCCCAACGGGAACACTCCCCAGTTTGTACCTCCTAGTCGCCAAGGCGGCTCCGAAGGCGGAGTTGCGGGAGAGGAGTCTTCCGCGGCTGTCGAAGCGGATTGGGGCAGAGACGCGGCACTTGCGTGGAGTGTCCTCGTACGGCGCGACGCCCAGATCCGCCCTCAAAATCCGATAAGCCCGGTAAATTCATCGCTGATGGCAACCCGATCCCAAAGCTACGATGGTTGCTACTTGGCCTAATGGCCGACGAGACGACCGGGCTGACGGGCTATCAAGCAAACTCGCGTCCAATTGGCCAACCGCTTTGCTCCAATCGCTAAACTGTTTCATTTTACGCCATGAAGCGCAATGCTTTGCTTATTTAAAGTTGTTTTCTGCAAAATTTAAGTTGCTAATAACTCGCAAAATATTGCAAATTTCTGTAATATTTTTTTTCCTGGGTGTTCCTGCTTTGATGGGGCTCCGTTTCAGCGCGAACTTCAAACCTGTCAAAAAATTGTTGGTGGGCCCCTTTAAGTTTAGAAAGATAAAAGTGCACTAGATTAAGCATGTTCCACTTTTGTACGATATATCCACATAACAATATTTTGGGCCCTATTACTGTGAAACCTTAGCCATATACACATTGTGTGTCAAAAAGAACACATGAGTACTCATGAGAAAACATCTTGGCCATCTCAGCTGTTTGCCTGTTTCGAAACAAGATATTTTGTATTTTTGAAGGGGAAGTGCTTGTCGCGCTGTTCTGCAGTGGAGGCTTGGGAGGTTTCTAAGTCGCCTTATGCCTTTTAATTGCTGCAAAATGTTCCGGGAGGTGTTCAGCACGTCTCAGTAGCACAAGAATATTTTATTAAAGTTATTAAGGGGCGAAGCTGCTTAGGGTCTAGCCTTGTCCATCTGTCCGGCGTCCGTGCTCACATCGATTGCCATCCCATCTGTCTTCTTAAAAAAAGAAAAAATGATTGCGCAGTCGACAGGATTCGAACCTGAGCGGGGAGACCCCAATGGATTTCTATGTCCATCACCTTAACCACTCGGCCACGACTGCGCTGTCCGCCATATTACTATGATGGCTAGAGATGATATAACTCTACCTAAAGATGGCCGCCAGTGACCGCATTTCGGTCCATAGGAGGAGCTGGTCAAACGCGATCCAGCAAATAGACATAGAGATCAGTGGCTTTGATCGCCAAGTGAATTTGCTTCAGTTGGCAACCAGATCGGCTTTGGTCGCCAAGAGGATCGGCTGCAGTTGCCAAGTGGATCAACTTCGGCTGCCAAGCAAATTGGCTTCAGTCACCAAGCAGATCAGCTTTGGCCGCCAACCGGATTGGCTTTGGCTGCCACAGTCCACTCACCTAGCTTCCAGGGGTTGTTCTTGCAGGTCAGGTACCACATGTAGAAGGTGTTCTTGGTCCTGTCCGACATGTCGGCTATGTCCCCACGGAAGAAGCGGCTCACGTATGCCTGGCTCAGCTTCGTCATCTCTGCTATCATTGTCTGCTTGATGTTGTACCGCATCACGAAGTTGCGGATCTCAGACAAAATGGCCGCCTCTCCTTTCCTGTTGGGACACGAGACTCTAAGTCACTTCCCTCTCCTTCTTTCAGATCCCCTTCCTGAAAAAAGTCTAAAAAAACCTTAGTCAGTTTTTGTGCGTTATCTGCCAAAGACCAGTGCCTTTCAAGGAACCTTTGAGCTGTGCCAGTTTTGAGGCTTTGAGATGTATGCACTCCTTTAAAGATAGCACTGCATCCTGAATGGTTAGTACCCGTAGGTATACCATAAAAGACCGAGCATCCCCCATTGCACAATAACTGCCCCCCCCCCCCCCCCCCCCCCCCCCTCAATTTCGTAACATTCGTAGAATACATGAAGGACATATCTTTACATACTGTTGACTTAAGGAGCACCCACTCCCAGTTTTACAAATTATCTCCGAATTTTGAGTGGGCGCTTGCTCGGGATTTTACGGTACACTGTTTCGATTCTGAGAAAGAAAAATGCATACTGTAACGACTTGATTTTCGCGAGGATCTAAATTTTGCAAATTTTACGAATCGCCTAGAATTCGCGAAAAATAGGTCCCGCAAACAATTACGGCAAAACATAAACACACTGGAATCTATATTGAGATCCCACCGCGTCGCGAAAATTAGAACCCGCGAATTTTCCAAAACTTCAGTTTTGACCTAAATTGCGAAATACTGAGCCTGCGAAAAATAAGTCATCTACAGTATACTACAGTATACTACAAATATAATGGTACCCTGGTGTGCCATTATATTTGGGCACTGATGGCATGGCTGTCCTGCAGGCTTTTGGAAGACGATACATTAATCCAATGGCTCCAAAACTTAAGAATGAGGTGTACAGGTGTACATTATTATTTATTTTAGAAATAGATAAGAATGTATTTCTTTCAGATAACACATTAATTTAATTCCGATGATAACCTATATAAAATTTGCAGATTACCCCTGTGGCACAATTACAAATACATACTTGGTTTCAGTAGGTGTAGCTATAGGTTATTTTCGCGAATATTATATAATTCGATTTGAAAAGTTAATGAGCAGGACAGTCACAGCTAGGTTCACTTTAAAGCAAAGAATTATCCTCAACTTGCTACTTTTTCTGTTTGAATGAAGACAGGAATACACAACCTTCTCTTTCCCCCCATTCAATGGATATTATAAGGATCGGAAAACCCGATTCCTAGCATCTACATACTTTCGTATTGGTTCCTGGTAAGACAACTGTCTTGAGCCAACATTTCAAAAAGTAGGTGGGAAGCGCAGTTATTGGGCGAAACCGGCCTTTATCTAAAACACATAAAACCCCGTCCCAGGATGCACTGGAAATTAATTTCCCCATCGTCCTTGACTAGCACACAAACGGACCGTAGCTTCTAGAGCAGCACAGTGATTTCCCACAAACAGACTCGACGGCACCATCACATTGCAAACATCATGTTTTTTAGGTTGGACATTGCAACAACACGACATTTCGAACGCCAAGCTGCATCAATGTTCGTTCCCTTTGCACACTTGTTTCGGGACCCCAACAACTGGCCATATGGAGTTTGAAATCAATATATCATCTCCACTTCCACGCTCCTTCTGAGAGCTGGTATACTGCCTACACTTTTGTGTGAACGGTGTACAGCTAAACAGCGAGCAGTGCAGCCGCCATCGGGCCTGTCGGCAGACAATTGGCCACTGAAAGCAAAACGATTCCCAGAATGAAAAGCAAGTGTACCCACATCGAGGTACCTTTAAATTAAAGTGGCAATGAGGGGAAGTTAGTGCCTGGATGACAGGTGCACAGTGGCGTAGCCAAGGGGGAGGCTTATGGGGCTTCAATCCCCTCCCAAAATCTAGCCGACCCTATAATATACACATGCATTTTGACCCCTTCTCTCCCCCTCCGCACCCTAAGTAGCCACGGACATCCCAGCCACATCAGCCCCCCCCCCCCCCCCCCCCCCCAAAAAAAAAAAATGACTGGCTATGCCACTGCAAGTGCACGACTAGAAATGTTGGCACGCAGTTCCCATATTTGAATGCCTTTAAACCTTGCTCCCGGTTATGCACGTCCCAATGGGAAGTGGTAGCCACATTGCTTAGATGCGAGACAAACACGTAGAAAAACAAAAGCTCTGTCTAAACCATACTCTGAGGAGTGTTCCAGTATGTTATTGATTTTAAAAGGAGAAGGCGGGTGATTGCGGATTGCATTCATGACCCAACTGCTGAGACGCAACCCAATGCTCCGGGTAAACAATCAAGCACTGTATTCTACTTGTCCGTGTTCCTACGTAACAGTGAATGGTGCATTTCACTTGCACCTACGACAACGGTGACTTCCAGCAGCCTTAGGACTTTTCCCACGAAGCGCTGGAGAGGCATTCTAGGCACTACGATGCCTAGAATGCGTCTCTGACTGAGGTGACTAGCGTCCTCTTCCGCCCATGTGTCGAAGATGGTCCCAAAGTGGCAACAAACAACCTCCCAAAAATTGGAGTGTCACGCTTTTTCGGACGTCACGACCTTGGCGGTTGGCCGTAGGAGTTCCGGCAAAAAAGCACGAGCAAATGTGAACGTCGCCGTCGTTGCGCCGACCCAACTCCTGGCTGTTGATGCTTCCGTGGACAGTCGAGTCGGAGCGCGACCCGGAGCAAAGCGGGTGTCTGCCACATCCACTCCCGCCGCTGCAACACTGCCCAGATCGCAACATTTCTACAACATTCTTGGGCGGAAATCGAGAGACCACTTTTTGGGACAAAGGTAAACACACTGGGCGGAGACACATTTAAGGCGTCGTACCGCCACGGCCAAGGTCACAAAGACGCAAACGACGAGCGACCCGTAATCTTCGTCGGTCAACGTCACGGCATCGAGGCACAACACAAGGCAAAACAGACGCAGACACGACCACAGTCTAGAAAGCGGCAAGCGTTCCACAGTGGAGACGACACCCAACCTCGACAACACGCCGGAGGGGAGAACGAGGAAGCAGCTAGGAGAAAAAAGGGGTGGAAGGGGGCAACTCTTACGGTGGGAGGTACGCTGACCTTTTCAGGTCGTCTACGTCCCCGGACTCCTCCTGCAGGAACTCGTGCGGGTTCATCAGGTACTGCATCGGCACCACTCCGTGCGGGTACATGCTCGCTCCGCCCCCGCCACCTCCGCCGCCGCCGCCACCCGCCGTAGCCTCCGAGGTCGTCGCCACCCCCCGCCCCCTTGGGGCGAGGCCGCCGACGAGATGGGGATGATGGTCAACTCGCTGGGAAGTTTGGCGCCGCTTGACGCCGACGTCGTGGTCGGGGGAGAGGACACGCTCTCGCCGTTGTGGGGCCCGGCCCCGTCGCCCGTCGTCGAGTCGTTGGACGATGCATTCTGCAGCTGCGGCAGACGGGAAAGGAGATGAGAATGCAAGCTCGCCAGCGGCAATCACGTTACCGAGCTCACTTTGCTCATCCCCCTAATTGTAGGTGGAAGCTACGACTTGTCTGTAGCAATCTATAGTCTGTTGCAAATTAATTAAGAATGCGGAGAGCAAGTCGTCTGCTTCTTGCGCAGAGGTCGCGGTGTCGTCAGAACGACGTTGAGTTCCGGCTGGCTTTGATTGGGAGGACAGTGGGTAGACCTCAATGCTAGATGCCTCAAGGTCTACCCACTATCCTTCAATCAAAGCCAATTAGAGCTCGGTGTTCTGACGCCATCACGACCCCAGTGCAAGAAGCAGATGAATTTCCGCTCCGCACAGCAGGAGATGCACCTCCAACAAAGCTCCTTTCTTGCCACAATTGGTGGTTTCCTTCTCTCCAACGTTCGCTTCGCTAAAGTGGAAAGTGTGGACGGCTTTGTGGGAAAAGCTTGTCCTGCATTTTCTATGTTGCAACAGGCTATACACGTTTGCAAGTCCGGCTTCAGGGCGCTGCCATCTTGCCTGTCTGGGGTGCACCTGGACCAGTCATAATCCGATTACGAAGCCTTGCTAAGGCGTCGTAATCGGATTTAACCGCTCCCGAGAGCATACCCCACTGAGGAAGATGGCGGCGCCCTGAGACCGGACTTGCAAACGTGTATATGTAGTACATCAAGACTTGGCATCAACTTCTTTGTGTTACATTAATTTATTAGATTTTTCTTTGTTTCGATTGCACTGCCAGCCGTGAGGCCGAAGCGGGAGGAGTTTGGATGCTAAGACTGGAGTTTGGACGCTGCAACTCTCAGTCCTGGCTTGATGTTGAGCTGCGATTTGTACTCTTTCTTCATCGACGCCACCGTAAAGAGGCCAAGTTAGCATTTTTTCGAGTTCCCGAGCCACTTTGCAATCCCCCACTGAATTTGTCCCACAGTTGGGGAACACTGGATCTGTACCACAGTTGGACAAAGCCCACAGTTGGGGAACATTGGACTAGGTCACCTGACAAAGGAAAAACTTTTAGCCTGGTGAAGAAGTAAGACCAGCGAAGCTGTACTATGGTGGGAATGAAGTAATGGCCGTCCACAAGTCGGCAAGCCAGAGTGGAAAGGCTGGAAAGGTTGCCGCCATCTATGAGCGACGGCGGCAACCAGAGTGTTGTGTCAACATTTGCTTTATACCGAACACGATCCTAGGAAACCTAACCCTAACAGCTCCGCCGTAAAAAAAAAAAAAAAGACCATCATTGTAGAAGAAAACGAAGCTGCTTTTCCATATCTATGAATAGTCACCCCTGAAGAAAAACCCGAGTTGGTTTCAAAACGTCGAGATTTCCTCATAGTAAGTTGGTGATTTTATTAATTTTCCTCGGCTTCTCCCCGACCAGGCAGACCTCTGCCGAAATGTTTACGTTCATACTTTGAAAAATGCCCTCTTTGTTAGTGCAAAATGAAGCTTGTATTATACGGAAATTATCATTAATCTAGAAAAGCAAATCCTCGATAGCCTGTGCCTATGGACCTCAAACAAGTCCGTGTTTGCCTAAACTGGGTGTGGACATCGGGAGTGCGCATAGAAGAGATTCGCGTAAAGCGAAGCATCTGCGCATTCACCGTGCAGACAGCGGCGCCACCGCAGTGCCACGATGTCGGAGCCATCTGTTAGTGCATAGATAGTCTACAACGCGTATAGTTCACACTTTTAAACATGTGCAGTCTCTGGATTATGCTGGGCGCAAGCTAGTCTGCTTCTTGCACAAGGGTTGCGATGATGTCAAAACGTTGAGCTCTTATTGGCTGGTCGAAAAAAGTAGTGGGTAGACCTCAAGGCATCTAGCATTGAGGCCTACCCACTACAGAGATTGGCATTGTCTTGACGTCACCGCAACTCTTGCACAAGAAGCAGACGACTTGCTCTCCGCATAGTCTGGGAAACACGGCACTTTGCTTGCACACGACAACTACTGCAAAATCCCAAAATCTTGAGCAAGCGCCCACTCAAAATTTCGAGATATTCAACCAAAACTGGGGGATGGGTGCATCTTAGGTCAACAATATCTAAAGATATATCCTTTGCATATTTTTTGAATATGACAAGATTGAAGGGTGGGCACTCATTGTGGAATGGGCGGATGCTCAGTGTTTTATGGTAGGAGGTTTGCGGTAGAGCCGAAGCGTCTGGCACTCACCTGTGGCGGCTCCCTCCCCGCCAGAAATCCCCGCATGACCGCCGAGGACGACATGAGCCCGTTGTGTCCCCCCGCCCCCATGCCCCCTCCTGCCCCGTGGTGGTCTCCCCCGCCGTAGGCCGACCGCGACCGTGCCACCAGGGCGGGCATGACGGGGCACGCCGAGGCACCCAGCTCTCCGTCGAGCCGGTCCAGCTGCTCGAAGGCCAGCACCACCTGATCCCGGGTGATGCCGCTGGCCCTGAGGCGCCGGATCAGCTCAATCTGCTCAATCGTGAACAGGATCCCCGCCATCCTCCTTCCGCCTCCGCTTCCGCACCCCGCTTTCTCGCCGCCTCTCTCGCCCGCTTCTGCTGCCTGTGCCGCCCACGCTCACGCCGCCACCGCTACAAGGCATCCTGCGACCGGAAAGAGATGCCGGAACACGTTGGCGGGGGGGGGGGGGGGGGGCGCTTGGTAGCAGACGACATCTCCAAACGGTGCATTCGGCATCCTAGAGTCACCAGAAAGCAAGGTAACTCTGCGGTGATAAATTGAGGGAGAGGAGGAGATGAGAGCACGCAAGGACATCAGAGAGCCGAGCTCCAACTGGAACGATAGGGGGTAAACATAAAGACTAGCTGGCTTCGTCTCTACCCACTCTATCCAATCGGAGCGAACGAGAGCATCGTCTGCTCCTCATGCAGGGTCCGGCGTTCGAACGTTGAGCACCAAACGTCGGCGTTCAAATTTCGCGACTATAGTTGGACGTACTCCAAGCACCGTGGTGGAAGTTAGCACTGCAGACTCAGAGCTTGTGAACTTGGGTACGAACGCCGTCGGTTTCAACATGGAAGATACATATGTGAAAAGGAAGGGCCATGCTGCGGCTTCGGCACTTTCATTCAAGTCAGCACTACAAGCTTTTCTGATGGTCCTATCAAAAGTCTGTAGCTGCTTTACGACACTCCCCTATGCATAAGTATTTGCGAGGTACGGCGACAGTAAAAAGTGTCGACTGTTAATGGTGTCACCTTTTGCTGTCATGAGTCGGGCCAAGACTGACATCGCCGGACCGCCGTTCAGGTCAGGGTGTCGGGCAGTGCCCAACAATTCATTGGGCGTGGCCTAAAAATCCGCCTTCCGTGCTTGTGACGCGATTTCTTTCAGGGTGTTAAAAAGATTTGTTTGGCTGCTTTTTACTATTTTTCAGAGAAGGCAGCACAATACAGTAATGGTGCAATATGTGTTCCTCTTTGCTGTATATGTGTATTTGACCACCAGGGGGCCAGCGTCTTTTGGTAGACTGCCCGCACACGCGGCGCCATTCATGCAGAAGCTTTCTACCTCAAATGTCCCAGCTATTGGCACCACTCTACAACCTGCTCCGGCAAAATGTGAGGTGGAGGTGGGAAACCAAGGAAGATGCAGCCTTCAACAACACAAAGCAGACACTTTTCCAGTCAAGTCTCCTAGTGCACTACGACCCCACTCAGGAACTGATCTTAGAATGCTACGCATCTCCGGAAGGCGTTGGAGCGGTGTTGTTGCACAACATCAATGGAGTCAACAAACCCATCGGTTCCAGATTCAGGACACTCACCAGCACCGAGAAAAACTACTCACAGGTTGAGAAAGAGGCCCTGGCACTAATTTTTGGAGTAACAAAGTTTCGTGACTTCCTTGCTTGGTAGAACTTTCATGCTTAAAACGGATCATGAACCCTTGGTAGGGCTCTTCAAAGAAACCAAAGCAACACCAACCACCGCAGCTGCCAGAATCCAGCGCTGGGCACTCACGCTTGGGGCGTACACTACAAGATCCAATACAAGCCTGGGCAAGCAAACCAAAACGCAGATGCTTTAAGTCGTTTACCACTCCCATATGACCAGCCCAGGGATGAAGACAGCAGATTACAGGGAGTGCACGCCCCCGACATCTCGGACACCGGTCCAGTCTCTTGGAAGCAGCTGGAAGATCTCATAGCGAAAGACCCTGTGCTTGTGGTACTTCGAGAGACCATTAAGAAGGGTTGGCCAATGAAACTTCAAGACCCAGTTCTTCAGCCGTTCTGGCCGCAGAGACACACCGTCTCCTTGGACGGTCTTCTCATCCGTAGGGGGGAGAGAGTGGTCATCCCGGAGAAAGCACGAGACGCTTTCCTACAGGAGCTCCACGACACACACATGGGTATTAACGCGACAAAAGCACTCGCACGGTCAATACTCTGGTGGCCAGGTATTGATCATGCAATCGAAGATGCGCTGCGAGCTCGCACAGTGTGTCAACAGGCTGCACCGATGCCACCAGCAGTAGAACCACTAGCCTGGCCAGCAACCACTACACCTTGGGCAAGAATTCATGTTGATTATGCAGGACCTATTGATGGTACCATGGAGCTCATCATGGTCGACAGCTACTCGGGCTCAATTGAAGCACTACCGACACCAGCCGCAACTTCAGCAGCAACAGTTGATCACCTGAGAAGTATTTTTGCCCATTTTGGACTGCCTGTTTCGTTAATGTCCGACAATAGAACACCATTCACCGGATCACAGTTTAACGAGTTCATATCCCTGAACGCTATCCACCATTTAAGGACTGCATCTTACCATCCACAATCGAATGGGTTTGCAGAGAGAGCCGTAAGGACGGTCAAGGATGGCTTGAAGAAACTTTCAAGAGATTCCCTCGCCACATGTTTGGCAAGATGGCTGCTTGTGCATCGTCGCACTCCATCGGCCACACGAGGCCGATCTCCAGCAGAGCTGATGCTCGGCTTCCGCCCAAAAGTTTGCATGGACCTCGCCACCATGACGACCAGCGAGACAAAGGACGACACAGAAGGACTTGGCAACCTCAAAGAAGGGAATTCTGTGTTCGCAAAGAGCTACGGAGTTGGTGAGCATTGGGTGCCGGGAGAACGTTTTGGGAAACCGTATGGCTATAGTGGAGACCCACCATGACTCAATGAGGCGCCACATCGACCAGTTGCGCCCCTGACACCATAACTCAACTGTTCCAGAGACTTCTGTGGATTGGCCACCGGACCCCAGCCTTTTCGACAGTATACCGGACAGCCGACCTGAAATTCGATCTACACGTGTAGATCGAACAGACCACTACAACGGTCTGTTCCAACACTCAAGGCACCAGGCCGGATGGACCCACAGCTAGTGTGGGGGAGTGCTGTATATGTGTATTTGACCACCAGGGGGCCAGCGTCTTCCGGTGGACTGCCCGTGCACGCGACGCCATTCTTCTTTTTGTTTCATGCAACCGTCATGAGGTTCAGACTCAACATGTAGCCTAATCAGTTAATGAACAATATGTGACTTTGTGGCAAGTATGTTTCCCCAACCGACGCAACACTCTTCATCCTTCGCATCGCACATCCATGATAAAAAAAAAGGCTTCTTTTGCACCGCGCGCGTTTTATGGAACGCTTTGCACAAACTCTCGGAAGATGACAATGATTTCAGTGAGGAAGAAAGTTGTATACCTCTTTCAGAAGGTGAAGAAATGTCCCATGACAACAGTGAGCTCAGCGACAAAAAAAGGAGACGCTGCAGGAGATGGTGACTTTGGGGATGCTCTGCCAAATGCTTCTTACTGGAGGCTGTACATCCAATCCTTCCCGACTTTTCTGCTATTCTCTTCACAGTAAACAATCCTGGAACACAAGTCTCAATCTCGAATATCGAATGTGAGCTTGACTACTTCCTACCATTTTTCACAGATGAATTCATGGAAGTGTTTGTGCAAAAACAAACAGGCATGATTAGTAATATAGCGCAAAACAACAAGGAAAGGAAGGACGAGGTAGACAGAAAGGGCTTAGCGCCCTTTCTGTCTACCTCATCCTTCCTTTCCTTGTTGTTTTGCGCTATATTACTAATGATGAACGACCAACTAGCCCGCCAGCTCAATTTATTGCAAACAGGCATACTTGAGAAAAGATTGTGAGCGCCCAGCCCCTACTGGAACAGTCTGTGTGAAGAAACTGGGAGGCTGTCTCAGTGCCTGAGTTGAAAGCCTTTCTTGGGGGTGCTTCTGAACATAGCCCTGAACCAAAAACTCGGCAAATCCTGAACCAGATGCCTTTCAATTCACATCAGTGTTCATACAAACAAGGTTTCTTCAAATTTTATGGATGCTGCACGTGACCCCAAACCCTCAAAGCCGGCAAACACAGGGAGGCTAGGTTCGAAAGATAGTGCAGTATGTTGACGCAAAGTGTAGAGAAAATTTCAAAGCTGGACCGAAGGTCTGCATTGATGAAAGCACCCTGAGATTCAAGGGGTGAGTATCATTCAAGAGCTACGATCCCAAAAAACCGATGTAGTAGGGCCTTCAAGTCTATGTTCTGGCTGATTGTTTGGCCGACTACGTTTGAACCACACTATGGTGGCACCACCACAGAGAGTCTCTGCCGCCCGGATCTACCGTTTACATGCCGCAGCGTCCTCGATCTCCTGAAGAATATCAAGCATGTCTCAGGAGAAAGTACAGTTACACCGTGTAAACCGACCGATTCTACACGTCACCGCAGCTTGAGGAGGAGTTGCTCGCCTAAGATTTGGTACTGAGCAAAACGGTTATAATAAGCCAAAAGAAGATGCCACAACTACTAAAAAAAAAAGATGAAGAAAGAAGATGTGGCGGCCTACCGAGAGGGGACTCATGCATGGCACTGACTTGGCAAGACAGTGACAAAGAATCAAACATGAGGCCAGACTGTCACGCTAGAAAAACCTCTCGTGAGATGTGACCACACCAAAAACATGCGTGCCGTCAACAAGTATGATCATTACATTGCTAGCTACAGTTTCACCAGAAAGTCGCTAAAATGATGGAGGAAACTTTTTTTGGATTATGGAAGTGGCTATCATAAATAGCTATAGGCTGATGAAGACGCAGCAGGCTGCACAAGGAGAAAAGATGCAGCGCCACCTACACTACCGTCGAAAGCTAATTGAGCAGATAGTGGGACACCAGCGAGTCAAACCAAAGAGGAGAGGTCCAGTAACCCAGTCGGACATGGAAGAAAGACTGGATGGCAAGCAACACTTCCTGTACAAGCTTGACGGACGTAGCAGCTGCAAGGACTGCGCTGTCTGCAGCAACCGTAAGACGAAAGGCGGCTGAAGAGATACAGTGTTCTTCTGCAAGACCTGCAACAATGGCCCCGGTAGAGAATGCAGGAAAGGGAATAACCTCCTGAAATAAACCCTTCATGCTATGTTTGTACACTATAGTTCTTTCCTTTACTGTTTAGGGACATGTGGAAAAAAGTTTCCGACTGGAAGGGCCACCAAAGTGATAAGTATTGCTCACTGCAAAGGATTCAATCCCGAGACTCGAAGTTACTGTAATAAATTACAATGTCACCAACTAAATTAAGTCAGAATGACATTCAGTAAAAGTGCCTCTGTTACACTCCCACAGTAACTTGCAAAAGAGTTCAGTTACAGTCACTTGTCAAAACTATATTGACAAATACATCTGTCATGCCACGCTTAGGTGTGCATGACTGGTAGGTGTGCTATCAGTGGTTATCAGAAGCGAGCTCAAGTGGTCACGAGGGTGATGTTGATAGCGGATGGAACAGGCTGATAAAGAGCGGGAAAAAGCGTGTTTGGGTAGGTTGGATCCGGGCGTGGTGACGGAAGGTTGTATCTCGACACGACGGGAAGGAATAAATCATCTGAAGCTATTTGGACAAGTGTCTTCACTACATCCATGTTGACTTAGCCTCAACAGCCTCAAACTGTAGGGTGAGCCGAGTGCAAAATCGAGACATAACCAAACGGAACCGTGCTAATACCTTTTCCGTGTTGGAAACCGAACCGCGTGTCAGCAGTCGCAGCTGACCTCGGCATAATGGGGTTTCTGTCGAAAGTACCCAGAACATAATTTTGTTACTTCCCGTGAAAACTGCAACTGCTTAATGCAACTCTAAATACTGTAACTCCACCAGGACGACTACAAAAATGACGTCTTCGAAATCCCCGACTTTTCAGGGTTTTCCCCAACAAACTTCGACGACCGACTCGTAAGGGGACGGGACGTGTCTCAGGTGCAGTTTTCAAATGTTAAAACACTAGTATACCTGATAACTTCCCCAGTTCTCATTTTGAGATGTTCTCACCCAAGCAGCAGAAATTAACTCAATTAACTGCCACGCACTGGACAGCCCAGAGAAACAGACCATTTTCGGGGCGAGTGGGAAAGCTTGAAAGACAAGCTCCAGAGTCGCGAGGCCATTCGGCTAAGGCACCGTACAAAGGAACAGTCCATTGAGCATTTAAGAATACAACAACAAAAAGAGAGGGGGGGGGGGGGGGCGTTCCTTTTGGGAGGACGAATATGCGTTCCCCCAAGACTCTGGTTTCGGAGCAGAAACTTTCATCGTCGTGCTGGCCAAGTTGCCTGCAATGCGTGTTGAACAGCACATGAGTCTTTTGCTTTTGCTCAGAGAATGAAAATTTCGATTTCCCCGACAGATGTCGATTGGGGTGAAAATTCCGTGACTTTTTCATCCTAACTGAATTCCCTGACAATTCAGCTTTCCCAGTTTCGCAAGTTGATGACACTCTGTCAGTTACTTTTCACGAGTAACTCGCAACCAGCCAGCTTGTCGTCGGACGTAAGCAGAGGATAATTAGCCGTAACAGAGAAAACGATAATGATCAGCCAGTGGTCTCACCTCCCTGCAGCGGGCCCTCCAACTGCAGCCTTGGCAAGTTGGGCTCAGTCCGCCGACCAACCCTTGCCTCTGGCCCGTCATTCCCGACGTCCACGCTGAGTAGAGGAAAGGAAAAAAAAGAAAAAAGAACATTGTTAGGCATGCCACCCCATCACAAAACACGAATCACACCTCGTTTAATGGCAACACCTTATAGAAGCATGGTTTAAAATCGTGTTAGGGCTATGACATGCCCCCCTCCAATGGTGCCGCAAACTGAACGTGCGCTCGTTTTGAGGGCTGTCAAACGGTAGTTTAAGCCGGAGTGCACACTTTTGTAGTCTGTAAACTTTAATGGGGACATGGGTATCAGTGGGATGAAAATCTCTCCAGTTTTCAGGTTTCTACTTACCAGTTCAAATATCTAGTCAACAAAGACACCTACCGGTTTCAAGCGCACACTTCGGTAAACATTAAAGAAAATAAAACTAAATCACATTGTTTTTTCGTTTTTTTTAAAACACAAACAATAATTTTGTTCCAGGTTGACTGTATACACACGCTCGCGTCAATGGGACAGGATGCTTTTGTTCAGAGAGCCTCCTTATCAACTCTCTGCGAGAGTCGCAATATCGGTACATATCGACGTTGACGCATATGAAGATGCCCCCTCGAGATCTGCACCTTATATGGTGATTTGGATTCCCATAAGGCAGTGGTCTCAGACTCATTTGAGTGTGGGGGCCAGATAGCCCACACCAGAAAGGTCTAGGGCCAATGTAAAACGGAAGGGGGGGGGGGGGGGGGGGGGAGGGTTAAAGCATTTTAAAGAGCAGAGACCTCTTGCTCTATGTTTTTTGTAAACTAACAGTTTTGCCAGTGACATTGTGAGATTTTATTTGTTTATATGACTACTTTGGGACCTGACCTCATGTCATAGCAAGAATTAAAATGACACCACCATGCCGACGTGATGGCATTTTTAATACAACAAGAGAGCAAGTACAGAGTCGTTCTCGTTGCTCAATTCACACAGGAACTAACCACGCTCAACATGTTCCTAAAAAAAAAAAAATCGGTTCATTTGACAGTTCTTGCTTCCCTGATGATTTCTATTTCTATTACAACACTCCAAACAAATACTTTTAACGGTGATGTTTTTTTTTGTTTTTTTTTTAAGGCGAGAATTTTGACATTGTAATTTTATATTTGACAGTTGCTACTGTTGATCGAGAGTTCACGCTGCCGAGATGCATCCTTCCACGAACAGCTCGCGCTTGCAGCCTGGGAGCGGAATTGTTGTACATTACAAAAAGCTGGGAAGAAAATAATAAAACAAAACAAACGGAAAATGAACACAGATAAGTAGGGTGTCTAGCAAATTATTATTTTTAAATAACAATGACTTTTACAGGTTTCCCTGACAATTTCAGGTGAACATTTCTGACCACTGTAGAGGCGGTGAAATATATAAGACCATTACAACAAAAGGCATTGAGCACTGTGAGAATCATTTTAAACGGGGTTAATTCTACTTGCATATTCCAAAATATTCGGGTTCGTCCAGCCCGGTTTAGACAAGCATTTTTTCGTCACCGACATCGTCAGTGAAGAGACCACTTCCGGAAACACAATGAAAACACGACGCTCAACCACACACGTCAATAACCGATTGGCAGCATGGCCGCCAGATGCACACTTTCGGATTCTTTCGGCTTAATGCTTGAATTGGATTAAGGTCTGCGGCTTTCCCATTTGTTACTAAATCTAATAGCTCTATCTGAATCAAGCGTAGTGTCGTCCCCTCAATCCAATCCAAGGCTTGGAGCAGATTTGTCGGCCGTTTCTTTCGCATCGAGTAGCTAGCACACACTACATCGGGTGAGCAAAGCCCGCGCTCCACTCTAAGCAAAATTTATTGCCTATTTTTCTGCCCCCCCAAGTCCTCAAAACTTGGTTCAGGGCATTCAATGACATTTCCCACTCATTTTCCCTGACTGGGCTCGTTTTTTGACGATATCCCCGACAATTCCCTGATTTTTCCCGGTATTTAAAATTTCCCTGACAATTCCCGGTTTTCCCGGTCGCTAGACACCCTGGTATAAACTCTGTGAATACGTTAAAAGAGCAGAGCAACATTTCAAGCAAAAATGAATCGATGCGATGAGATCACTGTAGCGCATTCCATTTCTAGTGCTCGAGATATGGGAACCGGGACTCCTAGCCGGTTGCCTGTGGGCCGCGTCGCATCAAGTCGCGGGCCGCATGTTCAATACCTCTGCCATAGGGTCTCCAAATAAAAAAATTGTAGAGCCGTTCCACTTCACGTGAAGAGGGAGGATTAGCGAAGCTGTTATTATTATGACGTCTAGGATGATGCCTAGAGGATAATGTCTAGGACAACTTTAAAGGGCAACTGCAAAGAAAATAAAAGTGTATTTTTAAACAGCCTGATTGGGACAGGCATGTCACAAAGCAATTTTTCCGCCAAAAACAAAAATATTTACAGCAAGATTTATTGCGCCAGACTGATTTTAGTTTGCGGCTATTTCGTCCGTTTCAAATCGCACGCCACGAAGTTGGTATTATACGTCATGTAGTGGCGGCTATACGTATAGTCGTCACGGAGCGGCTGCTACACGTCACAGAGTGACGTATAGCAGCCACTCCGTGCGCGTCGAAAGAGCGGGAGTTTCATATGTGGAGAAGTTGTGATCCCTACTAAATTACGTCTTGTGGCGTAAATATTGCTAGAAAAAATTTGTTTTTTCGCGAAAGATTTGTTTTGTGACATGCTTGTCACAAAACAAATCTTCCGTGTTGCTCAGCTTCTTGGTTAGGGTGGGTATTACACGTATCCATGGAGTTTTCTTCCTCAGCATCATCCGCATTAATGATTTCATTACGTACTCTGAGCTTCGCACTCGTAGGGAGAAGTTTGAAAAAACTTGAGTTTCTTGTGATCATTTTCTGATCTCTCTGAGCAGTTACCTGTGTCCCTTCGATTTCGATCCCTTTGTATGGCTGCGGGTCATAAGGAGGAGTGAGCTTGTTCGACTGAGGCTGTTTATAAAGTATCCGGTCTCAGACTTCGAGGTTGTGAGGTCTCGCATGTCTGCGTTCATCTGCGTAAATCTTGTGTTTCTTCCAATTTTCGTAATCCGTGTGTTGCCGTGCCTGTGGCACGTTGTTAGTGTCTGCGGAACCGGGAAGGAGGTAGCCTATAGGTCTTCCAAAGTGTAGTTTGAAAGGTGTTTTCTCTGTTGTTGAGTGAGGTGTCGCCCTATAGGCCATTAGCAGGGGAGCTTGGCATGGGGTGACGAGACAGGCAATCCGAGGGGTTGTTGATTCCCCACGTGTACTCCACTCTGAAGTTGTATTGTTGAATTCTCAACACGAGGCGTTCAATTCGTGCAGACGGACACGCCCGTGGGTTGGTGAGGACGGAGACAAGGGGTTTGTGGTCTGTGCGAATGAGAAAATTGTTGCCGTAAAAATACAGATGAAAATGCTCTGTCCCCCAGACAACTGGAAGCAATTCAGGTTCAATCTGAGACTACCGTGCTTCGGTGGGGGTCAAAGCTCGACTAGTATATGCGACAATCTCGATGTTGTTGCCTTCCTTCCGCGCTAGGATGGCACCAAGGCCAACAGGTGACGCGTCGACCGTGAGTTATTTCCTTTGTACCATCAAAAAAGACAAGGTTGGGGAACTCGGAGAGCTTTTCTTTCACTGTATCCAAAGCAGCTTGCCCTTCTGGTCCCCACACTCACTTTGTGTTCTTTTTTGTAAGAAGCCGAAGAGGGTATGTTATGTCAGCAAGGTTAGGTAGTAAGCGTCCGCTGTAATTTGCTGTGCCAAGCAGACCTCAAACTTCATGAGCGTTCTCAGGGGCTGGCATCTTTTTTAGTACTGCAATCTTCTGGGGGTCTGTTCTGATTCCGGAAGCAGAGAAGATGTGACCGAAAAAACAGAGTTCTTTTTGTGCGAAGAGACATTCTTTTGGATTAACTGCGAGACCGTTCTCTGTCAACCGTTCGAGAGTTGCCTGGAGAGCCTGATCATGCTCATCCTTTGTCTTGCCAAACACGAGTATATCATCACTGATGTTGAGGACATGAGATATGCCGTTGAGTACTTGACGGATGGTTTCCTGGAAAACCTCGGCAGCTGCATTCATTCCAAACATAAGTCGTCTGAAGTGGTAAAGTTTGTTGTGAGTTGCAAATGTTGTGATTGCTCTTGATTCATTATCAAGTTCTAGTTGGTGGCATTCATCTTTTAGACCAAGTTTGTTTAAGAGTGTTGATCCATTCATTGCTGTGATCACGTCGTCGATGATAGAGCAGCCTTGCTTCTCGCAAAGAATGGCCCTATTTGCACATTTCATGTCAATGTATAGGCCAATGTCCTCTGGATTGTGCAGCTTTGGCACAATTACGACTGGAGATACCCATGGAGTAGGTCCGGTTGTTTCTTCGATAATATCAAGGGCCAAGAGCTGGCTTATCTTTTCTTCTACTTTGCTTCGGACTGCAAAGGGTATTCTGCGATGGGTCTGAGCAACCGGGGCAATGGCTTTGTCAATGTGGAGGTGCACTTGGAGGTTTTTTTAGCTTGCCTACACCCGCACAGAACTCAGGAAAAGCAGCGAGTGGGGTCTCAAGCAAGTTTGAAGGCACTTCCCCATTTGAGCTCGCATCTTTTTGTGAGGGTCCTTGGATGGCGTAAGTAATTTTAATGAGACCTAGTCTATTCACAGCAGCGAAGCTCAGCAGTGACTTCACGGTTCCCTCTATTATAAATAAGTCTTCTGTTGTGTCGCTGTCCCTGAACTTCAGCGTGACATTGAACTATCTAATAATGCCAAGAAAGGCTGACTCCCGCTACTCACCCCCTCTTATTATTATTTATTAATTCTTACCACGACCGATGTGGAGTTTTCTGTCAACATGCGTGGACACATTTTTTCCCAGATCCTAGTGCATAACAGCTTTGCTGTAAAAGCTTTCAAGTAGGCCATGCAACTTAAATCTGAGATTATGTGCAAGACTGCAACATCAATTGTATCAGGTATATTTGGTAAACATCGACATTGACGCAAATAGCAATGCC